AGGATCTTAGTCGGCGAGGTCTCGCCCCAAGGCGCGCGCGGCCTTGGCCAGAGCAGGCCCGGGAGGGTCTTTAGTCGCGGAAGAGTCTCGCCCCAAGGCGCGCGCGGCCTTGGCCAGAGCAGGCCCGGGAAGGTCTTTAGTCGCGGAAGAGTCTCGCCCCAAGGCGCGCGCGGCCTTGGCCAGAGCAGGCCCGGGAGGGTCTTTAGTCGCGGAAAAGTCTCGCCCCAAGGCGCGCGCGGCCTTGGCCAGAGCAGGCCGGGGAGGATCTTTAGTCGCGGAAGAGTCTCGCCCCAAGGCGCGCGCGGCCTTGGCCAGAGCAGGCCCGGGGAGGATCTTTAGTCGCGGAAGAGTCTCGCCCCAAGGCGCGCGCGGCCTTGGCCAGAGCAGGCCCGGGGAGGGTCTTTAGTCGCGGAAGAGTCTCGCCCCAAGGCGCGCGCGGCCTTGGCCAGAGCAGGCCCGGGAGGGTCTTTAGTCGCGGAAGAGTCTCGCCCCAAGGCGCGCGCGGCCTTGGCCAGAGCAGCCCGGGAGGGTCTTTAGTCGTGTGTGAGGCCAGGAAGTGTGTGTGTGTGTGTGTGTGTGTGTGTGTGTGTGTGTGTGTGTTTGTGTGTGTGTCTGCGTCATGAAGTGAGGAGGAGGAAGAGGAGGAGGAAGGAGGAGGAGGAGGAGGAGGAGGAGGAGGAGGCGGGACAGCCCCAAAAAGTAAGAACCCCACACAGTGATGTGGGGAAAAAATACTTCTAGGTACCCCTAAGGAAATTAAGGTCTGATCCCAAGGCGTCACCTCCACCTCGCCGGGCCCCAGCTCTTCCAGGGCTGCGGGGGAAAGGTCGAAGCCTCGCATGGCCGCCTGCCTGGACCGGTTTAGGGTTTAGGGGTTTAGGGTCTAGGGGTTTAGGGTTAGGGGTTTGGGGTTTGGGGTGAGGGTTCAGGGTTTTAGGGATTAGGGTTTAGGGATTAGGGTATAAGGGTTTGGGAGGATTAGGGTCTAGGGATTAGGGTTTAAAGGCTTAGACCAGGGTTTAGGGCTTTAGGGTTTGCGGATTAAGGTTTAGAGGCTTAGGGACTAGGGTTTAGGGTTTAGGGATTGCTGCGGACTTGCGCATAGCGAAAATATCCCGCGACACTGGGGAACAGGGGGCAGGGCAGGCGACCCAATTAGGGGCTTTAGGGTGTGAGGTTTAGGATTCAGGGGTCAGGGGTTCGGGTTTTATAGGATTTAGGTTAGGGCTTACGGGTTAAGGGTTGAGGGTTTAGGGCTTTGCAGTTGCTGGGTTTTGGGTTTACGTTGGCTCTCGCCTGGACCACGACTGCTCGTCGCTGTTGATGACTTGAAGCCTGAATCGTGATGCGCATTTTGGGGCTTAGGTGGGCTGCCGGGTTTTTGCCGTTTCCGGGCTTCAGAGTGACTGGTGACGGTTTTGGGACACTAGGATATGGACTCAAGTCAAGCCACTCTATCCCTACCTGGTCATAGAGTGTTGATCGTTCGTCGCCTCGCTGACCTCTAGGAGAACTCGATGCATCTCGACGGAAGGAAGCTCTCTCAGCGACTATATCCGTTAGCAATTTATATAGGCCCCTTCATAACTGTTTGGTTCCGTTGTATTGCAACAAGATTCAACGGGGGCTACAAGGGAATACCAGTCCCAGATGTTCCGACATCTGTGGCAGACTATTAAAAGCCCAGACCCTGAACACAGCTGCAGGCCTCAGGTGTAGAGAAAGACTTACAAACCCTAAACACTGCACCTCAGACCCCCTATCAACACTGAAAACCACAACTCCTAAACCGTCCTAAGCTCTAGATCCTGAACCCCAAAACTCACATTCCTCATGCAGGGCTAGCAGCAGAAGAGAATTTGCTTGGTGTACGTCCTGTTTGGGGATGGCCGCAAAGGTCTTGAAGCATCCAGTGCGTATTCGCCCGTTTTGAGACTTGAAGCCTCAATGTGGGAGTTACCGAAAATTAGGGATACCTTGTTTTGGGGCCTTTATAACAAGGATCCTACTATTTAGGGTACTATATTAGGGTCCCCTGTTTTCGGAAACTCCCATGTATGTAATAAAGGGGCCACAATACATAATTGAATATGGTTTAGGGGTGTATCCAGCAATAATCATAATAAGGACACCCCACAATAGTTTTGGTATTTACTGAGGCCCCCATAGTAACCCTAAACCCCAAGCCGTTTAAGTTTTCGGGTTTAGGATTTAGGTTCACTCACATTACACGATTTGGGTAGTCTTCTTCGTTCTTGGGTCACAAACTCCGACACAGTGATCCGTTCAGGGAGACAAAAAAGATATCTCTGCAATATAGAGTATAGTAAAATCCACTGAATGGGCTTGTTTTCCCTTCCCGAACCGAATAAACACTCACCCTAAACCCTGAACCCGAAAATCTAAACGCTAAACACTGCACCCTAAACCCTCGACCCTAAAACTCTAAACCCTGCAACCTTACCCCTCAACACTAAAACGGAGGCTGAAGTCGTTCCACAGCAACCGTTGCGAAGCTCCACCAGGACTTCGTGTTCAACTCCTTCTCGAAAGGATAGGGTTTAGGGTTCCTGTAAAGGGTTCGTTTAAGGGATACTATAATTAAGGGTACTATAAGGAATTTAGGGATATAGGGGCCTTAATAATTAGAATAGGGTTCGGCGCCTAGGGTGGGGTTGGGGCTTGGGGCATAACGTTAGGCTCATATGGTATAGCGTAAGGCATGATAGAAAATGCAAGAATACCATCTAAACATAGTCAAGTAATAATCAATAACAAGGCCGAAACCCTACTTTGCCTTATACCCTGAACCACTAATTCCCAAAGCCGAGGCCCTTAAACCCCACTCCCTTAAACCCCTAATAATTGATGAAACCAGATGGTCTGGGCTCCGGGCCTCCATGCGCTCTGGCGAGCTGGAGGAGATGGCGCGGAGCTTCTGCGCACAAGCCGTTCAAGTCAGCGGAGTAGTGGCAAAAGCGTGCGGCGGTCCTCGATCCAAGCTTCTGCGAAGCCTCTAAAGGGTCCTATCTGCGTTCCATAGGGGCACGAGTTAGTGAGTAGAATAGGGATAGTGTATGCGTTGTATGAAGGGTCTCTATGCGTACCAATATAATAAGGGATGGATCTATATGGGCTTAATGTAGGGGCCTTAATAATCAGCATAGTTTAGAGCTCGAACAAGGAAGCAAGAAATACTGCAAGAAACAGTAGGCCAATACTTACCAAAAAGTATCTAAGCCCCTATCTGCCCAATCTTAGCTACTAGGATTTAGGGTTTAGGGTTTAGATCACTACTAATTCAGAGTCCCGTATTAAGAACCTCATGAAGGAGAGGAGAGCGTCTGGGAAAAGCTGACAGCCCTGCGTCGAGTGTCACTTCCGGGGGAAGGTCTACCTAAAGGGCGCCCGGGTGGTTCTGCAGCTGCACGAAGGGATAAATGTCGGATAACGCCGCTCACAATATTTGAGGATACGGGTGGTTCTCTGAATCAGGGCCCCTTTCTAGGTCCCCAACATTTTTCGGCACCCTTACAACAAAAAAGTACGAAACAACAAATCGAGAGCTACCCATATACATGTGTGCGTATATATATATATATATGTATGTATATGTATATATATATATGTATATATATATATATATATTGTAGAGATAGATAGATAGATATATGTATTGCACATTCTTGGTGTTGTCGAGGAGCCGTGTCGTTGAGGATTCAGGCTCCGATATTTTGGAGGCTGTGAGGGATCGCTGTGATTATTCGGACTATGCCATGTTGAGTACTCTCAGGACAAATATGCCATTGTCGGTATTACAGTTACAAATAATTGATGATTATTGTTTCCGTTGTTGTTGTTGTCACGATTGTAGCGATTGTTGTTATCTTTGTTGTGATTATTGCTGATATTGCTGCTATGGTCATTGTGGTTATTGTTTTGATTACTAGCTATTACTGCCATGTTGATGTTTGATGGTAGTGTTACTGCTACGGTGCTTTTATTGGTGATTTGTGTTTATCCAACTGTCAGCAAGATGACTGCTGCCGTGGCAGTATTTGCATTCGTTCGGCTGTTTGGCCTGAGGCTTGTACGGTTTGTGTGATACATGTGGGTCACCATGAGGCTCCTCTTCGTCATGATGACGATGAATTACTACTATTTGCTTAAGAACCCCCCCCCAAAAAAAAAATAAGAAAATATATTCCTTATAGGGATAATATAGGGATTATGTTTGTTTTATTTTTTGGGTGGGTTCTTAAGCAAATAGTAGATTACTACTCTGGTGCCCGTAAAGGTCCTTGTGAGACGTCGATACGCTTCGAGAAAGAAAGTTCGGCTTGTCTGGTCCAAATGGTCCAGGGCCTTCATGGCGCCGGATAGCGATGACCTGCCCAGGGGCCACGTCTCCCACACAGGCTTCAGTTTAAGGCTCAGAGCTATCGTGTGGATTCCACAACCAGCCACCAATCTTTGAACCCCGTCGCCGCAACCCGCGACACTAAGTCCTCCCGGCCCAGCCAAGAGATGCACCTACACCCAGGCCCCCAAACCCGAAACCATGAAGCCGAAGTCTGGTAGTACCCTCCACTTCCCCCAAAGACGATTAACCCTTGAAGGAACCCTTAGATGAACCCTTAAAGCCCTTAAAGGAGCCCAAGAAACATCCTTCAAGGAACCCTTTGCAAAGCCCGAAAGAACCCCTTAAAGGAACTAAAGAAACCCTGAAAGAAACCCTTATATAAAGGAGTCCCGCCCCCCCCCTCCCGGGCCAGTCTCGGTCCGACTTGAGGAGGTGCTCCCCCCTCGTGACGAAGTCCTCCCCAAAGTCCGGCAAGACTCCGCAAAACGAAGGAAGGGGTCTTACGGTTCAGGATTTAGAAATTTTTTTGAACCCCTTTTCTCCAGTGCCCCGGAAGGTCTGAGAGGCCAGGACGGCCAGGACAGCTAGAGTTTAGGGCTCAAGGGCTTGTTTGGGGTGTGAGGGTCTTGGAGTGTAACGACTCCAGGGTTGAGGTTGACGTAGGGAATGTTATTCGTTGGCATAGATATACTGTGTACACAGACAGGCTGGGGAAATGTATCAAGGCCCTCTCAATATGATCGCCCATATCCTTAAACTCAAAACATGAAACCAGCGTATTTGCCGGACAGTTTGCACTAAACCCTCAACCCTAAACCCTCAACCCTGAGCCCTGAACCCTAAACCCCCAACCCCCAAACCCTAAACCCGAAGCCAGCCGTTAAACCCTTTAAGGGTCCTTCAGCCGCTTCAGCACGACGGGGTCGTCCGCTTCGGTAAGGCTTTCGATTTCCGCCAGGAACCTTAGGGACTCCCAAGTTGGGGAGTTTGGGGTTCACTAGGGATTAGGGTTTAGGGTTTTGGGGTTCAGTAGGGATTAGGGTTTAGGGTTTTGGGGTTCAGTAGGGATTAGGGTTTAGGGTTCAGTAGGGATTAGGGTTTAGGGTTTAGTAGGGATTAGGGTTTAGGGTTTAGGGTTTAGGGTTTTGGGTTTAGGGTTTAGGGTTTTGGGTTTAGGGTTTTGGGGTTTGGGTTTTGGGTTTAGGGTTTAGGGTTTAGGGTTTTGGGTTTAGGGTTTTGGGTTTAGGGTTTAGGGTTTTGGGGTTCAGTAGGGATTAGGGTTTTTAGGGGTTCCTTTGAGGGGCTCCTTTAAGGGATACTATGAACTCTCAAGCTTGGGATTTGGGTTCGGGGTTTGGGGTTAGGGTTGAGGGGTTTAGGGTTTAGGGTTGAGGGGCCAGGGCTTAGGGTTTAGGGTTTCGGGTTCAGGGCTTAGGGTCCTAGATATCTGGCGTCCTTCACGTAGGGCTCCTCGTATTCAGGCTTTCGGGCTCCTTCTGTCTTAGACTTAGACCCACGTCAAGGCGTTTGGGGCATTGGCGTTTAGGGCCTGGGGGCTTTACGGCTAACAATCCGACAAGAGGCAACGGGTTTCGGGGCTCAAGGTGCTGAATTATCAAAACACATCTAAAAAACTTGCTCCACGTGCTCAACTATGGATTGAAATGGAAACACCACGGATGCAAGGTCGTTCTCACCTGTTCTAAGCAGCATCCAAGCGGCATGTCTCTGCCGCCTGCACCACGCGTCGCCTCCAGGATCGTGCAAATGTAGGATACTGTAGAGACATTAACAATTAGAATAGGGTTTTGGGGCCATTATACTATACTTACAATAATAATGAACCACCAAAATAGCATTGTACCTAAACAGGCCCCTATTTACACTTATGTAATTCACATGAAGTTGGTTTTGATCGCTACAAGCAGTATCACATATAAAACTGCTTGATGAGGCTTATGGTGAAACTTTGCCAGGTACCTATACTTCCAACCGGCTACCTCCAAGCAATGGATTCAAGACGCCCCTAATTGCCCTTGAAAACCGTGCCATAAATTCCGCGAAAACCCCACAACAACCATCCACCCTAAACCCTAAACCCTAAACCCATCCAGCTCCGATGCCTGAAAAAGCTCCTTGCAGAGAGCATCCAGAGCTTCAGGCTTTGATGACGGAGAAATGCGGAGAAGAGATTTGGCCACCGTCACAAGTTCTTGCCTTGGCTATAGAGCTCAAGGCTCTAAGGGTCTATAGGGCTTAAGGGTTTAGGGTTTAGGATTTAGAGTTTAAGGTTAAAGGCCGGGTTTGGGCTTCAGGGCTTTGGGCCTTGACGGCTTTGGGGCTTAAGAGCTCAGGCTTGTCGGATATACCAAGTCTCTGGGGCCCCTTCATTCACCCTCAAGCCCAATCAAACTCTACTACACTCTATACTCTAATCCCGAAAACCCCTGAAAGAGCTCATCAATAAGGACTCTTTTCCCCAGACCCCCGGGGGGATCCAAAAAGTAGATCCCTTAATGAGGGTTCCTATAAAGTACTCTTAGTAGTATAGGGTCCCAAATTCGCGGATCTACTTTCTAGATCCTCCAAAGAGGGTCTGGGTAGAGTCCCTTGTAAGGGCTCCTTGAAATTATTCTTTAAGGGCTCCTCTAAGGGATCCTCTCATCAAGGACTCTTTTCAGCCTCTCTGAGCTCCATCAGCCAAGTCTCCCATACTCCTAGTAGTATACGGTCCCACATTAGGGGATCTACTTTCTAGATCCTCCAAAGGGAATCTGGGTCAGCCTCTGTAAGCTCCATCAGCCAAGTCTCCCATGCAGATGGTGGAGTGGGGGTTCCTATAAAGTACTCTTAGTAGTATAGGGCCCTAAATGAGCGGATCTACTTTCTAGATGGGGGTCTGGGTTTCAGCCTCTGTGAGCTCCACTTGCCAAGTCTCCCATGCAGATGGCGGAGGGCTGCTAACATAACCTGCGCCAAGCTCTCCTCGGGTCCTGGAAGTCCGAGACTTGGAGGATCATGGGACTTAGTAAGGGTCCTTTAAGGGCTCCTTAAAGGGATCTATAGGGTTCCTTAAAGGGATCTATAGGGTTTGGTTTAGGGTTTGGGGTCTAAACTTGGGAGGATCATGGGACTTAGTAAGTAAGGTTATAAGTACCCTAATTGGGGTTATAAGTAATGATAACTATAGTTACCCTATTTATAACCCCAATGACTAAGTCCATGATCCTCCAAGTAAATTCACCCTTCTACAGTTCAGATTAATGTAGGGGCCTAAATTGTCAGAATAGGGTTTTGGGAAGCTCGTTATTAAAGTTCTAATATAAAAAATACCCCAAACCCGATTATTCTAACAATTAAGGCCCCTAGAATAGAAAAACTTTTCTAGGGATTCTGTTCCTTGCACCAACTCCGCCACCCAGGCGCTTGCACGCGCCTGGACCCAGGTTGGCTGCGCCGGATCCAGGTAGCCGCTAAACCCCTGGGACGGACAACGAACTTTTCTGCGTTGCGCGGAATACGGCGTTGCGTTGAATAAGGTATTGGTGTTGTTGGGCTTAGGCTTGCGGCATTTGGGCTTCTGTACTCTGCCTCTATGGACTTGAAAACTGCACTTCCGCCGCTTCAGCCGCTTTCCGACGCCACGCCTCACCCTTCCTGCGCATCTGCAAGGTACTTGATTCGGCCCTTGCTGGACTTCATTCCAAGTTGAAAATACTGCCATTGGCGGCGAAACTGCTGCTGCAGTGCTACCACCGCTGCTGCTGCTGCTGCTGCTGCTGCTGCTGCTGCTGATACAAAACTGCGGCTACAACAGTTGCTACTGCTGCTCCACGGACAATTAACCAGAAAAAACACAACGACACTGACACTAACACCAACACCCCAAAACCGACGACGACCGCCGCCACCAACACCAACAACACCACCGCCATCACAACAGCAACAAGAACAACAACAGGATCATGATGGTGTTGGAAGTAGGAGCACGATCACAAACTTGGCATAACCGCGACCACAACCACAATAAAACCACCGATCGAACTACAGTGGCTGAAGAGACAAATCCGCAGCTACTGCCGCCGTGACGGCACCGAGACGTCGATGTTACAAAACGTGGGCGAACCAACTCAGTCGGATGATAGCTGCCAGATCTCATCGGAAGCTTGTCCTTATTACCCAGAGAGCCCAATACCCCTTAATTAAGGAATACGGCTTAAAGTATACAGGGCTTCATATTCTGATTTAAGCTATATTCCTAATTAAGGGGTATTGGGCTCTGTGGGTACCGATTGGCAACATCTGACCCTACCATCATGCGAATACCCCATCCGCAAGTCGCGAAACCTCAAGCAATCCCAAACCGCCGAAAGCCGCAACATACTTAACCCGATGCTAACAACTCCACACTCCTAAGCTGTGTGGTTCAATCTCTCAACCCTCAACCCTCAAGCACAAAGCCGAACCCTAAACCCCTAAGCCCTAAACGCTACACCCCAAACACTAGATGCCAAACCCTAAACCCCCAAGCCCCTAAACCCCGAAACCCCTAGACCCCCAAACCCTGAAACCCCCAAACCCCCAAACCCGTAAACCCCTAAACCACCCAACCCCTAAACCCCTAAAAACCTAAATACACGCCTCAACTAGATCCCTTATAGCTCCCTTAAAGGAACCCCTAGAAGTTCCTTTCACAAACCCCTAAACCTTCTAGTACCCTTCTAGAGTTGTCAAAACTGGGGTCCCTTTTTGGGTCCTTATTATAGTACGGCACCTAATATTTAGGGTACCCAAAAAAGGGACCCTAATTTTGAAAACTACCCATATAGCTCCCTTTTAAAGGAACCCATATAGATCCCTTAAAAAAGATCCCCTTATAAATCCCTTTAAAGGAATCCCCTATAGATTCCCTATAATCATTAAAGCCCCTATATTGAAGAACCCTACTATAGATCCCCAGACCCCTACCCTTATAGCTTCCTTGTTATAATTATAGTATAATGGGCCCCAAAACCCTAATCTAATTATTACGGCCCCTATATTGGTAATACCCTTATAGATCCCTTTAAAGGAGCCCTTATAGCTCCCTTTTAAAGGAACCCCGAAACCGTAGTTGTCATCAAAGGCCTCCACAAGGCCGCCCCTGTCGCGCTCCCCAAGCAGAGCCAGCGCCTCGGGCAGGGGACTAAGGGGTTTGGGCATTTTGGGGATTTTGGGGTTCAGGGTTTAGGGTTTAGGGGTTTGGGGTTAATAGGGGTTTAGGGTTTAGGAGTTCGGGCTCCTTTGAGGGATACCATAAGGGTAGTATAGGGGTCTAAGGGGATCTATAGTTGGGTTCTTGAATTTTGCGGCCTTAATAATTAGAATAGGGTTCCTTTAAAGGGGTCTGTAAGCGTTACTATAAGGGATCTATGAGGGTATTACCCACATAGGGGCCTTAATAATTAGATAGGGTTTTGGGGCCCATTATACTATAGTTATACTGAGGAACCCCCAAAATAGTCTTGGCAATTATTTCGGCTTCTACATTAAGGGCTTTGAGGCTGAGGATTTTGGGCTTTGGATGTTGGGGGTTAGGGTTTGCGGTTTTGGTTTTTAAGGTTTAGGGGTTTAGGGGTTTAGGGATTTAAGTATGAGGGTGATGGGCTTGGGATGTTTGGTTTAGGGCTTGTGGTTTGCATGCGGGGTGCGGGTGCGTCTGGTCTAAGGGCTTACATCAACCCCACCTTCATCCTCAGCGTCATCTTCCTTCCCAGACCCTCCAAAATCCATTGATTAAGGAATATACCTTAAATCATAGTAGGACCCTCCTTAATGATTTTGGAAGGTCATGGGTTTCCTAAACATTAGAAAGCCTTTCTGCTATCCCACATTGTGGTTGGATGCGAACTGCGAACTATCAGCATCTCTGCCGACCCATGCACACCTTCAATCTATCAGTCTGGCTATCCCCATTATATCCTTAGCCTACTAGCTCCTGAAAACTTTGAATCCCTACGGCACTCAAAAAACAATGCAAGAATATGAAGTAAAAAACCTAGCAATAAGACTGAGACAAATAATGAAAACGAAGCGTACTATCAAGTATCTGAAGCAAAAGCTAGTCTGTCCAGAGTTTCTGCGATGCAGCCCTGGAATCCCGAGACGGTGCCTCCCGTAGAACCGCGTCCAAACTTTGGGCGCTGAACTCCGTCCGAAACGAGGCCTGAAGGTACACATCATTATAGTATGCTATAGTATGCCATGGTATGCTGTTGTGTTATAGTACATTATCGCATAGTCGAGTGTTGTGTTATAGTATGCTTAACTTAGCTCAATATGTCACTTTACATTATGGTTATGGTAAATTATAGAACAGTAGATCATATTTCAATATTTTTTGTATATTCTTGTAGATTATGGTATTTTACCAGCTCATTAATAATTACAGTTAGCTTATTAACAGTTTCCAGCTGTACACTCCGGTTTCGGGGTGTCCCTTCGGGTGTAGACTTTGAAGTTTAGAGGTTCAGGGGTTTGAGGGTTTAATTACCAAGGGGGGGGACCTGAGTTGCAAGGAGAAGGAGCGTTGACTACATAGCCCCAGGAATGCCAACCGAAACCCGACAGAACCCTAAACCCTAAACCTTGCAGTACGTCCTGGCAAAGACCTGCGAGGCCTTCCGGAGTTCCATGTTGCTTTCAGGAAAGCACAAACATCGAGCCAAGTCTTCCGCAGCACCCTGAGCCATGACACCTTCTCCGGACCACTCCTTAAAGGAAACTCAAAATGAAGTCCCCCTTCTGGCTCTACAGCGAAGAGGCCTCCCACCGCCCCGGATCTGAAATCCCATAAAAATCTGGTGGATCCTAAACCCTTATACTTGAAAGATCAAAGGTCTTAGCAGAACTCTGCAACCCCAAACCCTTCACCCCCAGACCCGAGGAAGCCCCTGAGCCCGCATTTAATCCAGATGGCAAGTCCTGTGATTTGGAGGCAGCCCCGGAAGCCCAAACCACAGCCCTCTGACTAGTTGAAATGCCCCTATAAGAAAACCCTAAAACCCCTTACAAGTTATAAGGCCATAAGAGCCCACCCTAAAGCCTCAATCGAAAACCAGCAACCTTTTAAGCCCAAGAATCCGTAAGACGTGTGAAACAGAGTTATATAGGGGCCTTCATAGCTACCTATACTACTTTGGGGGTTCCGTATTATAACTATAATATATTGGGCGCCAAAACCCTATTCTAATTATTAAGGCACTTATATTATCCTCAAGACCGCCGCCTTTAGCAGCCCCTGGATCGCGTTGGAGACGCTCGCTGTCGGCAGCATCTCTTTGAACGTCTCCAAGCATGCTTCCCGGCTCCTCTGTTTGGTTCTTAGTAGGGAATGGGGGAGCGAATTATGGGAACTATTATTATTGGGAATTAAAAAAGGGACTACTGTAGGGATCCATTCCCCCCTTCCCTACTCAGCACCAGACGGTCCTTGACTTTCAGCGTGCCAGGCTTGGGGTTTGACAGGGTTTAGGAGTACTGAGCACGGGATCAGCTGCCCTTGCAATGGTTTCCCTCAGACTCGGTGCAACGCTTGACACGGTTTACATGGCTCCTCGATATCTTGATAGGTATAGCAGGGCTTCAGAAGGTGTTATAACGGTTGTTTCACGGTGGTTTACATGCGCTATGCTGCGAAAGACTCATTAATTTAGTATGCTTGATTATTGATCGTTCGGTTGGCATTGGGTTTAGGGCTCTTTCGAGGCTGGGGTCTTAGAAGTTTGGGAAATTGCCTTACTTGCCGGGTAAGGTTAACCTTTTTGGTCATATAGGGATTATATAGGGGCTATACGACCCAAAAAGGTTAAAGGTTACCTACTCGACTACTAGGTTACGTAATTTAAGGTTTGAAGTTTCAAGCTTTGCAGGACGGGGGGTCCCTCGCACCGCTCCTGAAGGACAGAACTTGCGTTACAAGAAGGTCCCCGAACCGATGGCCTTTGTTAGCAAGTTTGAGGCAACGAGGTGCTCGGAATTTCTGATTTGTGGTTTGGCGCTCAGAAAAGACATCAAGAACGGAGTTTCACCCCCTAGATCCGCGATCACGACGCATCCAAACGACAGGGCCCTTCGACCCTCACCCCCCTTAGGCCCTTGGTGTGCAGCCCAAAGCCGAGGCCCCAAACTCAAACTCGCAGTCTATTTCCACTTGAGCTTCAGCAGGATGCCTGTGTATAAAGACACATCACAAAAAGTTAAAACCCCATCACCAAAACCCGGAACCGGAACCCCACACCCCACATCCGAACCCCGCAGAAATATCCAAAGCAGGCACTCTATGTTCAAGCATCGCGCTCCCAAAACCTGATAAAACTGGTCAAAGATCACCACCCAACAACTTGAAACACCAAAACAACCTCCTATGAAAACCCCTATCAGCCCGAAGCAAGACCTCAAAACTGACAAACCCGTCCAGCGCCCTAAACCCTAAACCCTAAACCCTAAACCTTGCCGGGTCGCCCTGTGACGAGGCCTTCCACTACACCAGCCCAGACTTCCGGGCTCTCAGGGCCCAGATAAAAGGCCGCCCTCACGGCATACCTTGGGAGGATCCAAAAAGTAGATCCCTTAATGGGGGGTTCCTATAAAGTACCCTTAATAGTATAAGGCCCCAAATTAGGGGATCTACTTTCTAGATCCGGAGCTTCACTGATGTGCAGGGCTTGGGGCTTTGGGCCTTCAGGATGGTTTAGGGATTTAAAAGGGTGTGAGGATGTTCTATGGCTTCTAGTGTTGTAGGCTGTAGAGCATTCTGGATTTTTGGCGACACTGTTATACTTCATAGATACCGATTCTATGCTGACGCTGAACTTTGTTCGGCAAGAGCCTAGATCTACGAATGCGGGTTATCCAAATTCAACCCGGCCTTCGAAGCTAGTTTTGTACTTGTTGTCTGACCAGGGGTCTTCTCAACTGTTGCTAATTCTTCCCCCAACCCTAAACCTAAACCCTGAACACCCCAATACGGGCCATTCGAATCTACTCTGTGCTTACTGCCCGAAACCTTCGGGACAGTGATGGTGATGAGGGAGGAGGGAGTTGGGGACAGAAGAAGCAGGGGGAGACTTGGGAGCGGAGTAGGCAATTTTTTACTGACCCATGTTGAGTTGGTATAACTCCGCAACTAGGATCGCCATGAAAGATAACAAGGCAGCCCCCTGATCCATGACCCCTCCTCTTCAGAGTCTATTCAGGCACAGACTGCTGAAACCCCATGTCTACGCTTCACCTTATTAGGAAGTTGGGGTTTAGTTTTGCCGCAAAGTCCTGGGTCCAGGTTTTTTTTTGTATTTTTTATAATTTTTTTTGGTATTTTTAATGGTTTTCGGTGCTGGAATGCTTTAAAACCTGCAAGAATCACGAGAAAGGGCTTGGCTTTGGGTCTTTGTTTTGGTAATTTTTATTTTTTTCGGGCTTAGCTTCTATAGAACCTGTACGCGTTGCAAGGATGGGCCATATGTACATGCAACATAGTGCACGGCGCTCATGAGACACCGTGTGCACGGCCTCACATTCGCGCACTTCTGTTTTTTTTGGCAGCTTCGCAGCAACTCACCGGCATCCACGCACGTTCTCATCGGGAACCATGATGCTCTTCATAACCTGTTTGCAGAGCTTCGGACTTGCGGTCGGTTATCACATGACGGCAGTAGGACTTGCTGTGCGCAACCGTTTAGACGGTTTACGGATTGGAGGTTAAGTTTCGAGTTACGGTGAGGCGCAAGAAAAGGTTCAGGGATTGGGCTCGGGACTTCAGTATCAAAGTTTGGGACTCATTGCTAGGTTCCAACGTTTCAAGCTAATTAAACTGGGATGGCTATGTATTCTCACGGAACAGTACAGAACACTGCAACCAGTCGAGCAGTTTTTGCTTTTGCGACTACTTGCTTCATTTCCAACATCCAACTTATCAACCTGGACTTCGAATTCGCACAACCTCACATGCGAGACACCGCATGACCAGCGCGAACACTGCAAGCCGTGGAGCAGCTGCGCCGGCGGCTACGTCTTTGTTTGATGGTTGTTGTCGGTTTTGAAGTGCACGATCTCAACTTCAGGAAACACGGACGGAGTAAGTTGCAGCATCTGTCGTCGTTGAGTTCTTGTCTGGGCTCGGCTTGGTTTCCGCGCATTACATGCAAGAGACGAGGGAGGAGACGTGGCTAGTTTGTTTACTAGACGCTTGCAAGATCGCTCCACAGCCACTGCCAGTCTTGTGGTCGTGCACTCTGTCGGCCGTGCTCAGGCCGCTGTGCACGACAGCATTAAGTGACACACACACGCACACACCCAAGAGCTCGCAGTCATGTTTTAATTCAATCGTTATCACTTGGTTCACGTCTGGTTTTTATTGCGATCGAACCTTTGAAACCGATCCCCCCTACAAGCAGAAAAGCGGAAGCCAACCTCTTCGCACAACAGGATCTCGTCATGGGCGTTAAATGGTGCAGACACTGCCTCGCCAACAGACGGTGTGAAGAGTGCACCGCACGTTGTTCCAACTGCGAGGTTTAAATTTGACTTCTCGGTGCGTGTCCAGCTTACACACAACAAGATTCGTTCAGGGTCTTCTGCAGCGACGCATCGGAACTTTCCTTCTGTTGCTCAAGAATCCTGCGCATGACTCCCGAGTGGTCTTCTACCAGACTTCTGCCACGGGTTTCCGTCTGTTGCTCATGACTCCCGAGTGGTCTTCTACCAGACTTCTGCCACGGGTCTTTACATGTGATAATGTTCGGTTCATGATCTGTGCCACTCGAGCGCGCATGGAGATAGCTAAGGCATGGTTCAGCAGCAGCACTCAGGTTTGTTCGCCTGCGTCATCCTTTTCCGAGCCTGAGGGTCAGGAAATGCCCTGTGTGGAAACAGCAGGTGAGTGATTTTTGAACTGAGACATGCGCGAAAACAGAAACATCGAGGCACGGACGCTTCTTCAGATCGAGTAGTGCATGGATTGTTTCTGGTTTCGAAGCCTGTGCGCAGGAATGTTGTTGACAGGACACTAGCACGGGAACGAGACATCTGAGGCAAGTGCCCGAATGCCGAAGTGGTCGGCGATAGATTTGAGGCTGTCAAGTCGCCGGCCACCGATGGTGATACTGGGATGGCTCTCACGCGCAGACGATGCTGAGCGTGAGTCCCATGGCATGTCATACAGGGCATCGTGTGTGACAGAGGCCAGGAAAGCACGATCTTCTGCACTGATTCGCGGCTGCGACTGCAGTGCATGCTGAACGACCCAATTGGCAGGGTCGGTGCCGGCCATGACGTCCGTCATGGCCTGGCTGGCGCGTTGCTCCGAGACTGGCGTGCTTGATTTTTTGCGAGGCTGGGCTGGGGCCCGGGTTGCAACACGGGACTTTGATAGAAGTTGTTGCAGTCTCAAGGTTTCCCCTGAGGTGAAGCCTGCATCCGATCGAAGATGCGTTTCTGTCAAAAGCTTCAGGTCGGCAATGGTGTGGATTCCTAAGGCACTTAGTGTTGCGCAAGTCTCTTAGACACCACATCGGCTGGACAAGCTTGGTGGAGAAGTCTGCTGATGTCTGCGTCGACCGCAGAAGAAGTTTCCACATCTTCTGACGCTGTGGTCCGTGCAGAAGCAGCAGCAGCAACAGCAACGCGAGGGCCGGGTCTCACGCTGCCCTGGGGTGGCCCATGCGACAAAAGATTGGCACCTGCCTTGTTTCTGCCGCCCCGATCGTGCCGTACTTGCATGCACTCCTTCAGGCTGACCAGGGAGACCCAGATGCAAGAATGCAGCATACAAGTGTTCACAAGGTCCGTGAAGGGTGGCTTTATGGCATGTGCACAGGCCTCGTGCATGAATGTTGTCCTCCGAGGTGTCGGACACAACATGCTGCCAATACTCTCGGGCACGGGCCCCACAAGGACTAGACACCAACGTCCAAACAGTTCTTTAGCTTTGCCCCAATCAGTGATTTGGGCGGACTCTTCGGGCGAAGACGTGAGGCCCAGTGCATGCAGTGCTGCGGTAGTGCCTGCTTCCGATGTGGCTGTGACGAGAGCTACCATTTTGCGCAGCGTACCTGCGGGGAGTGGTTGCAGATCGCGCCGAACATACTTGGGGCAGCGACGGGCAGCAACACTTGCCGTTGTGGTTGGATCTTGCTTTAACAGGCTGCGAGGAAAGAGAAACCAGTGATTTTCGGCTGCATCCTGGAGCACGTACCAATGCGGTTGCCCAAGCAAAGTTTTTGCACTGGTACGACCTTCGACTCCCAAGCCAACATCATCAGTTAAACAAGCAAGATCGACGTGGGCATGTGGCCCGGGCCAATCATGCAGGACACGGTTCTCGTGTCGAAGTCGAACAAGTTGGGTGCGCACGATGCTTTGCAAGTGCTTTGCGAGATCGGCAGGGGTGGACATGGACTTGCCTTTGATGACGCGCTTTAGCGTGCATCTGTGCCATGCAGGACTCTTGCGGGGCCGTCCCGCAAGCTGAGCCTGGCAGAAGTCTGTCGTAGCCTGCTCTCCAGCGAGCAGACCAGTGCGATTCCGCATGTCCAGCAGGCTCTTTGCACAGATACTGCGTGGCGAATGAGTTCGCCGAGTCGGGAGACGCCCAATCGACTTCCATGCGCTTCAACAAAGAGGACCAGAGGACATGGAACAGGTGGGCGGGCATTGTGCGGCTCATGTACATGCAAGATATGAGGAAAGAGACTCGGCTGGCACGTTCTTCGGGAGAACCGTGCATCTTCTGTGCTAGAAGTTTCCGTGTGCCTCCATTGCCGGCTTTGGCAGTTGCCCCGATGACATGCGCCCAGTCGTCGACCAAAATGCCCAAAAAGAACCCCCATCCCAAAGTCCTCGCTATGGCTCTTGGCCCGGTGGTGATTGGCACTCGCTCACTCACCCAATCGATCACGGTCTCACTCACTCATTCACTCTCTCGCTCACTCACCCACTTCCTGCATACTTCTGGCCTTCGGCTTCCGTGCTCCGCCACCATCACTCGCCACTGAGTAAATCCGACACCCCAAACGTTGAACCGTTAACCCTGAAACCCTAAACCCATAACCCTAAAACCCTAAACCCTTATCCTAAACCCCTAGCCGCGCAACCCTAAACCCCTAACCTTTCAACCCTGAACCCCTCAACCCCTAGCGTTTCAACCCTAAACACTAAACCCCTAACGTTTCAACCCGAAGCCCTAAACCCCTAATCCCTTTCAAGCCTAAACCCCCAAACCCCAAACCTCAAGCCGAGGTGCTCGAAGGCAAAGAACCTGGGGCTCGAGGCCAGGAAGAGTTCCAGAGCGTCTCCCCCGGGACTGGCGATGAGCTTCAGAGACCTCCAGGCTGTGTGGCTCTTAAAAGGGAATGGGGGAATGGATCCCTATAGCCTTTCCTATATTCCCCCATTCCCTACTAAGACCCAGACAGTAGGGTTTTAAACTTCGCGGAAAGGTTTTGGGGCTCAGTTTTTTCTGGCAAGGTTTCGCGTTTAGCGCTTCGGGGATACGTCTTTAGAGATTAGGGTTTGGGGTTTGGGCGTTTAGGGTTTCCCGTGAGATTCAGGGTCTAGGGTTTTGGAGATTGGTTCAGGGTTCAGGGTAAGGCATTTGGGGTTTAGGACTGTAGGCCTGTGAGATTTAGGGTTTAAAGTGCGGGGTTGAGGGCTGGGGTTATCAGTAACAACACCGCTTGATGCAGCAACGGTCTCGAGCTTCCTAGTGGGAAATGTATAAAGTAAAAAGAGCAAAAGGGCATTACTCGGGAACCTAGTTAAAGGCCTCTTACTCTGCTGACCCGACTACGAAACTTCAAATGCTTGCTTCTCACACTCCCGACGCACCTGAAAGCGGCTTCAGCGGTATGCCAGCCAGACCAGCAGCGACCTAAGAGCTCTGTTCGGGAAAAATACAAGCCATCTATGATGCCCCAAACCCAAAAACCCTGAACCCTAGAGCCAAAACCCCAAACCCTACTAGTCTCCCTCTTTTTCTCGACAAAATCTGGCATCTATGCTGAGGTCTTATTAAAGTTGGTCGTCTGTTTGCTTTGCGGGACCTCCACGAAAAAGACCCAAATCTCTAAAGAACCCTTCTGGAACCCTTCTCTAAACGCCCCAAACCCCTGGAACCCAAGCCCTTCGCACTAAGACGGCGGCAGAGAGCTGGGATGCTCTTCTCCGGGCACTTCCCCCCGAGATCGCCCAAGGCGCGCACCGCCTTGGCGCAGCTCCAGGCCGTGTTGTCAGGTTTAGGGTCATAGGGTTTAGGGTTATCAGGTTTAGGGTTTAGGGTTATCAGGTTTAGGGTTATAGGGTTTAGGGTTTAGGGTTATCAGGTGTAGGGTTTAGGGTTATGAGGCGTGTAACAGTATGTGCGCGGTGGGTGCGCTTCTTTAGAAATGGAGGTGCACCCACTTATCGCACGTTTGCATCAGCATGTAGTCCCGCCCCAACCACCCCAAATATTCTCAATTATGCTATGAGGGTTTAGAGTTCACCCCCCAAACCTCCCTCAACTGGGACTTTCTTGCTCTCTGCCTCCCTTCGCAATTCGACACATAAACGACCACATTTTGCAGCAAACCACGATGGATTGGTGCCGGTTTGCGGGTCCTCGCGGCCTGTGCCGGCCGCTCGACGAGAAGCAGGGATTGCCAACAAACAACTTGCCCCTCGCACCCTGTCAGGGTCGCTCGAAGTTTCCAGTTATGGCAGGCTGGGTCACTACAAAGCCTAAAATCCTTTCCAGGGCATCGGAGTTCCCGGGGCGGCGTGACTACCGTCCTCCTATACCAGGAGGCTTTATCCTCCCTCACCGTTCTGACGGACGCTCGGCCGCGGGCCTCGGTCGGAGCCTCGAGCGCCCATGTAAATGCTCAGTGGCGCTCTTGGCAGTTTAGAGTTTAGGGTTGTGAGTTCCAGGGTTTAGGGCTTAACAAACCCTGTTAGAGCACCTAGTTACCAAGTCTGCTGATGCTTCAAGCTTCAAGCACATGCATGAGTGCATGAGGGGAACACGAGCACAGGAGCATGAAGAGCCACAAGAAGAAAAACCTCGTCATCACAGTCCGAAGTCTGAGTACTGTGCAGGACATGAGCGATTGTCAAAATTATGGTGCCTGTTTGGGTCCCGAATAGTGCGGGTGTCGGTTTAGTAACATAGGCTCCTTTAATGCGTCCCGGCGGGGGCTAATTCCGAATCCGAGTAATTTTTTTTGGAAACTAATTAATGCGTTTTTTTTGGGCTGGGGGGATTTGGTGGTGGTGGGGCTGTGCTGTGTGCTGATGGTCAATCTTAAGGCAGCCACGACCTGAAGCCCCCACCCAAACCCTAAAATCCCCCTTATTGGGGCGTCAGGAATGGGACTCTGTACTACTACTGTACTACTATTGTTGGGGGGGGCTGCTAGGGTGAACCGCCGAATCGGGGATTGGACCCTAGCTCAAAAAAGGCCTCTCCAGTACTAAAGTTTCTATAAAAAATTCAATTTTGGGTCCAATCTGGACCGACCCCCCTTTGGGAAGGGTTTAGGGCTTAGGGTTTAGGGTTTGTTAGGGTTTAAGAGTTTAGGGTTGTCAGGGTTTAGGGTTCAGGGTTTAGGGTTTAGGGTTTCAGGCGCTGGCTTTATGCTTTGCTTATTGGGGGAATGTGCTCACTGGCTTTATGCTTTGCTTATTGGTATTCTTTCTGTACTACTGTACTACTGTACTACTGTTGTACTACTACTGTACTACTAGTGTACTACTGTACTACTATTGTATTACCACTGTACTATTACTGTACTACTATTGTACTACTGTACTACTATCGTATTACTACTGTACTACTATTGTACTACCACTGTACTGCTGTTGTATTTCTATTGTACTACTGCACTACTAGTGTACTACTACTGTACTACTATTGTACTACGGTACTATAATCGTACTACTGCTGTACTACTACTGTACTACTATTGTGCTACTATTGTACTACTGTACTATTATGTACTACTACTGTACTACTATTGTACTACCACTGTACTACTGTTGTGTTACTATTGTACTACTGCACTATTATTGTACTACTACTGTACTACTACTGTACTACTATTGTATTACTGTACTATTATCGTACTATTACTGTACTACTACTGTACTACTATTGTGCTACTATTGTACTACTGTACTATTATTGTACTACTACTGTACTACTATTGTACTACCACTGTACTACTGTTGTATTACTATTGTACTACTGCACTATTATTGTACTACTATTGTACTACTACTGTATTATTTCTACTGTACTACTATTGTACTACTGTACTATTATTGTACCGCACAAAGCTTCAGACGTGGTCGATTGTGGGTGGGAGTGTGTGAGTGTAGGTTACGGAGGCAAAAGTGTTCAAAATGAAGGGTTTTTAGTCTTGGTAGTAGTCTTGGAGTGATCGGGGCTTGGTTTCCAGCATTTGGTGATCCCCAGACCGCCCCGACCCCCGACCGCGCATTCGCGCAGAACCGCAGACCCTGCACCCAAGCCAACCCCCCAAACCCCGGCACCTCCCAATTCCCTGCCACTCAGACCCCTGACCCCTGTCCGGCTCCACTTTAAATAGAATTTTTTTTTTTGGTTGGGGGGGGGGGTACCCCACTACTAAACCGACACCCACATTATAATACAGCACCTATTATTTAGGGCACCCAAAAAGGTAGCCCTAATTTGACAACTACCCACACGAGACTCAACAGGGCCTGCCAGGCTGCTGGAAAGAATGCCAAAGACGAGCACGAGAGCAACAGAAAAACGCAGAGATGGGCCCCAAAGGGACCGATGGAGCGGAGTTATACTTGGAGGATCATGGGACTTAGTAAGTAAGGTTATAAGTCCCCTAATTGGGGTTATAAGTAGTTATAAGTATAGTTACTCTGACAATAAACTTAGGTACTAAGTCCCATGATCCTTCAAGTAACAGGTGGTGAACTTGTCGAAGAATCCTTGAACCCTAAACCCTGCAAACCTGTCGAGGAGTTGGGGGACCTGCTGAAAAGATCAGGGGACGTAAAGTAGCTTCAACTAGAGCCATAACTGTCGCTGCTTTCGCCTAATGATAACCTACCTGCCTAGTTCTCTGACGCATAACCCGGAAGCCTCAACAATAAGGCGTTGACACCAAATCGTAAACCCTGAACCCAAACTGTAAACTTGGCGATCCATTAGGGTACTGTAGAGATTATCTTAGGGTCCTGAATAATTGGAGTGGGCGTTGGGGACTTGTACTCTGAGTGTGTATTAAGGAATCCAACCACCAGGAAAAAGTAGTCACTCTGGCTCGGTTACAGCCTGTCCACACACGGCAGTTTCTCTAAACCGCAAGCGCATCAATGTAAAAGAGGGGCCTGAATTATCAGAGTAGGATTTCGGGGGCTCCAAAACATGTTTATACAGCGGCAACCGTTGGGAAATCATGCCCACCTTCCGCCCCTGATAGTAAGTCGCTGACAAGTAGCCTTCCCGTCTGTGACTTTGACGGCCATAAGATAGGATAGATTTGTCCCACTCAACGAGGGTTTGTAAACAAGGTGTCCGCCGAACCCAAAACCCAGCAAAGCCCCATAGCCGACTTCCATAAGCCTCGAACTCCCAATCGCTGAATACCCAAACCCCAAGGATCCCTGCGTTTTCATACATACCCAAACCACTAACATCCCCCACTCCCGAAACCGTACATTCCTGAGCCTTCAAGACCCTCCAGACCCTACATCACACCCCCTGACTCCTCAAATCCCAGAATCCAGAACCCTGACTAAACCACGAACCACCTACTTGTTGGGTATTGTGGGGAACTGAAGGTTAAGCTTTTTGGGGAGTATATAAGGACTATACTACCCCAAAAAGGTTAAAGGTTACCTACTCTACTACTATAAACCCTAAACCCTAAACCCTAAAGCCTACTACGACAGGACCAGTACCTCGAGCTTCTCTTCCGTCACCGCGGAGACTTCGATTGCCTGGAACGCAGTTCGGCCTGCCTGGACCCTCGAACCCTCGATATACTGACCTCTTTTTTTAGGGGCCCTTGTACTTACCTCTCTTTTAAGGGCCCTTATACTTACCTTTCTTTGTAAGGGCCTTTATACTTATATACTCTTTTTAAGGGCCCTTATACTTACTTCTTTTAAGGGCCTTTATACTTACCTTTGGTTGGTAGGGAATGAAAGAATGGGGTTTAAGGTTTATAGGGTTGTGGGTAGTAGGGTTTAGGGTTTAGGGTAGTAGGGAATGGAGGAATGGGGTACAAGTATAACTACTATTCCTACCGTTCTTCCATTCCCTACTAACCAAAGGTAAGTATACCCCAAAAAATGAGCCGACCACGACACTAGGGTTCAGGGTATACAATATTAATTAGTATACAGATTAAAGACTGTGGCTGCAAGGGGATACGAGCTGTAATTCCTCAGAAGCAAAGAGCCACAAACCCTCCAAGTCCTCAAATCGTCTGCTAATCCCTGCTATAAACCCTACAAACACCCTTAGAACGACCCTTCTAAACCCTCTGAGCCCTAAGACCCTGCAGTAACCCTTATGGACCCGTGTAGAACTTTATAGGCGTCTGATGGGACTGTTCTGGAAGCCTTGCGAACCCTAATCAGATCCCCTCTTTAGCTACACAATGCCCCTGATGTAATGAAGGTGTATTATGCCACAGAAACCCATTCTACTTACCAGTACTGTAATGTAAGAACCTGATGAAGAATCCCTGGCCATATAACCCCAAAAAATTAGGATGCATATAGGGAATCCTAACACTTACCCAAAGTTACTTACAAAAAGGTTCCTACATTATGCCTTAGCAATAGTTGCAGAGCCCAGAATCTAAACTTCGAGCTCCTACACCTACGATCCCCTGTACAACGGAATCCCTTAATTAACGTAATCAGGTTCCTATATTACCAAGACTCCTCTGGGATCCTATATTTGAAATCAGAACTATAATGCAGGGCCTTAAAAATTAGAATGGGGTTTGGGGGCCCCTTATACTATAATCATAATAAGGAGCCCCCAAGAGTATGGGTAATTATTTGGGCCACTATAGCAAAAAACCCTTGATGAAACCTATACAAACCTTATAATACACCCCGATTGAACACCCTTTGCAACGCCTACACCTTAAACCCAAGCTTTCCTCAACGCTAAACCCCTGAACCCCGAAACCTGAAATCCTAGACCCTATAATCCCCAGGCCCTGCAGCCCTAAACCCTTTTCCACCAAAAAACGACCACCTCAAGGTGTCCCCTTCAAAGGAGCCCTAAACCCTAAACCCTTCCAAGGAGCCCTCAACCCTACTAGTAAACCCATAGAGCCCATAGAGAGCCCCTGCTGGGGCTTTCTTCTTCAATCCGGGCGGCCCGGAACGCCGGCTCCAGATCCGCCAACAAAGCCAACTCCAAGGAGCCTTTGGCGCTCTCGGCTTTTTCTTCTTCTGACTTCCATAAGGGTCACTAGGGTTTGAGGTTTGGGCTGAGGGTTTAGGCTTTGTGATTTCTATACTGGATGCTAGGGATACTATAAGCGTATCTGTTCGTATCCGTATAAGGGGTACTATAAATGATCTCGGTAGAAGTTGGTATAAGTGGCACTAGTTTACATGGGCGATTAGGGTGTAACGGTGTAACGGTTATGGTTTGGGATACTTGTTGGTGTCATTCTTCTTGAACCAGGTCTCGGGTCCCATCCGGCTTACAAGCTGCAAACGAGGCATGCATTTGATCAAAAAAGGGCAGTTACAAACCCAGAGTTGTAGCCTGGGGGACGCTCAGCCTCGGCTTTCTATATAGAGGGGTCGTAGGTGCAGGAGCTCGAAGTTTAGATTCAGGGCTCTGCAACTATGGCTACTAGACCCAAGTGTAACCTAGGAAAAAGGGGTGCCCTTTTTGGTTTAAAGGGGCTTGTACGGGAACCTGAACCAAAAAAAGGGAATAAGGGCCTACTCCAGGTCCATAGTTGACGGGTAAGACCGGACTTTTTCTCCATCGGTGCTTCCACAAGCAAAGGACCAGCCTGCAGAATCTGTACCAGCTCATCCCCCGAGGGTGCACAGGACCCAATAATTTAGTACTTAGGTTTCGGATAGTAGTTATGTAGGTTACTATTTGGGAAAGTGTATGGGGGTCTCCGAACATGGGGGACCCTAGTATAGTACCCTAGATACTAGGATCCTTATTAAAAGGATCCCAAGATAGGTTACCCATAATTTTCGGAACCTTCCATATGACTACTAGGTACTTGGCACCGGTAAAGCTGTCAGGATGCCCAGATTCCAGCTGTCTCTGAGTCTGTCTTGCCGTCATCGTCTCTGCAATCCTGCACAGCATCCAGGGGAACTCGCGCCGCTTCCGATCGCGAGAATTGAAGCTGCAATGCCATCCTCGTTAGCGCAATCCTCTGCAGCACGACCTTCCAGCAGCAAAAATGCCACCTCTGATTGAGCACTTTTGCACGCGAGCATGGGGACTGTCTTTCCGACACGTCCCTGGCAATCTCTGTCAACACCAGCTTCCAGCAGCAAATCTGCAATCTCCACATGACTACCCCGGCAAGCGAACATCAGGGCTGTCATGCCGTCATTGTCTGCGCAATTCCTCGTAGCGCGAGCTTCCAGAAGCAAACGCACAACCTCCAAGTGACCACTTTCCGATGCGAGCACTAGGGCTGTTTTGCCGGTGCGGTCTGCAGGTTCTTTTTCAGCACCAGCTTCCAGCAGCAATCGTGCGACCTCAAAATGACCAGTCTCCGATGCGAGCATGAGGGCTGTCTTGCCGTCCAAGTGCGTGAGATTTTTTGCAGCGTGAGCTTTCAGAAACAACACTACCAACTCCAAACGACCATTCTGAGATGCAAGCATTAGGGCTGTCTTACCGACACGTCCCCGTCCATTTGTCTTAGCACCAGACCTCAGCAACAAGCGGACGACCTCCAAGTGACCGCTCTCAGTTGCGAGCATTAGGGCCGTCTTGCCGACACGTCCGCGCCCATCTTTTTCGGCACCAGCTTCCAGAAGCAACTGCACAATATCCTTGTGACCACACTCAGATGCGAGTATCAGAGCTGTCTTGCCGTTTGCACGCTCGCTGCAATGCTTGCGAGCACCAGCCTCAAGTAGCACACGCACAACCTCCAAGTGACCGTTTGCAGATGCGACCATTAGGGCTGTCATGCCGGCATGGTCACGGCAGTTTTCATCAACACCAGCTTCCAGCAGCCAGCGCACCACGATCGCACGATTCCCTGCGGCAGCATCTGCCAGCTCCGCTGCAGCTAAGCCGGAATGCCCAGCGATGGTCAGCAGCACTAACTGCAGACTCATGGAAGCAATGAGCTCTGCATCATCATTCAAGAGGTTGCCGTTATGGAGAAGTTGCTGTAAACACACAGGAAAATCATACAGGTCACGCAAACGCAGCTTCACTGCCGCTGCAGTTTTGAATTCTTCTGCACTAATGGCACCCAGCTCTTGCCCCGGAGATCGCCAAACTCGAAGCATTGCACAAGGAGGCGGCTCACCTGCGTCGGTCATGACCTGGCCTTTTTGGAACAGAGCCACAAAAGTGCATGGAAGATTGTTTTGCTTTAGGGTGGCTTCATGAAGGCTGACAGAAGTGAGAAGCATCCGCGAAAGTGGCCCTCACCTGGAAAATCCCACTCCAACATCGGAAATGCAGCTTAAACAAAAGTCTGAAACAAAGGATCACAGCGGCCATAATGTCATACCTTGTGAGAATAACCGTGGTTAAGTATCAGGTGCAAACAAGGGATTCTACAAGGACAAACCCGAAGCTACAATAGGACCTTCACACAACCCTCAGCTTATGACCCTAAACCTCGATTCTCTCAGAGGTCAAACCTTGCAACCGAATCCTCTGCTTCAGGCTATCGAGCCTTATGCGAGTTGGTATGATGGGAGGCCAAAAGGGGGGTTTAAGATTCTTGGGGTAGGGATTCCTTAATATGAACCCTATTATGGGAACCTAATCCCTACTAAACCCCCATGGGCTAAAACCCCTTTTGGCCGTCTATGATTGTAAGGATATATTTAGGGGGTCAGAGGACTCAGTAAGTAGGTTGCAACTGGGGGGGGAGATACTCAAGCTAACCAGATCAGGGGCAGTCTATTTCACGATAACGTGCTGACTGAGCCCCGAAAGACCTTGTACAACCCGTACACAAAGCTGCTAAAGCTCTCTCAAGCCACCACCAATACAAAATGGGAGTTTCCGAAAACTAGGAGTACCTTATTTCGGGGTCCTTATAATAAGGATCCTACTATTTAGAGTACTATATTAGGGTCCCCTATAAACCCCAAAAAGCCGACAATGCCTGTGCAGCCCCGAAGCCTTCGGAGATGGATGTCTCCGTGCAGTAGACGCTGATCGGCACTCCATTTCGCAACTCCTTGCTGGGATTGTTTGGCTGCTTCCGCAAGTTAAGGCTTGTGGATATAGAGTTTGTCAGGTTTTTATGCTTAAGTATAGTGGGTGTTCTAGGTTCTAGGTTTGCTTGAAGTTCAAATCTGGGCTTGAGGTATAGGGTGTTATTGCAATCAGGCGCCTCGGTTTTGTGTACCCGTATAAGTAGGCTCCATGAGTCCTGCATTTTCTGAAACTCCTCGGCATCAGGCACAAGTGTTCTTTTCGGTGGGGGGCTTTTAGGGTTCAGCGTTTTGCTTCCTTCGCGATCTTGCGCTGGCGGTTTAGAGTTCCGGGATTGTTTCGAAGGAAGGCAGGCTTTACAACAGGTAATTCCTTCATGGGGCTGTGGAATAAGGTTGAGGGGTTGAGGGAGTTTAGTTTGTTTAAGATTTAGCAGGTGACATCATCGGATGCTTTCACAGTACATAATATAACAATGTACACAAAAGGTCGAAACGAATGTTGGGCTTATCGTGTCATGGCAAGAGAACATGTTGCGATCTGTCTGTGTAGAATCGACGAGCACTGCCTAAGCATTTTTGCGCAGCAATTCCTTAGCAATTCCTTACTACCTCCCTCTCTCAGCAACCAGGCCGCAAAACAGGTCATAGTTTTTGATGGACCCAAACCAGAAAGCCGAACAGAGTTTAGCGTGTAGGCTTAGGGCACCAGGTGTTTAATATAGGGGCCTTAATAATTAGAATAGGGTTTCGGGGCCCATTATACTATACTATAGTTATAATAAGAAACCCCCCCCAAAATAGTATACGTAATTATTTAGGCCCCTATTTTATAGTACCCTTATAAGATCCCTTATAGTAATCCTTATAGATCCTTTTTAAAGGAACCCCCCCAAAATCGTCGGAAGTAGGGGTGAGGTGGCGCGTTGCAGCTGCGGCTCCACGCTGCCCAGGGACTCATCGGTCGCAGTTTGCTGACGCTCCTTCTGGTGGTGTACTTGAAGGATCATGGGACTTAGTAACTAAGGTTATTTTAAGGTTAACTATACTTATAACTACTTCTGACCCCAATTAAGCTACTTATAACCATAAGTCCCACGATCCTCCAAGTAGGGTTTTGTGTAGGCCGTAAGGGTTTCAGGGTCCAGGGTTTGGGGTTTGCGCCCTAAACCCTGAGGCAACTCTCAAGTCCAAACCCTAGACCCTAAACCCAAAACCTTAAACCCTAAACCCGATTGACCCCCAAACAATACTTAGAGGATCATGGGACATAGTAAGTAAGGTTATAAGTACCCTACTTGGGGTGATAAGTAGTTACAACTATAGTTACCTTACTTATAACCCCAATTACTAAGTCCCATGATCCTTTAAGTAGATCCTAAACCCTAAACCCCATAGATACCTTTAAGGAACCCATATAGATTTAAGGAGCCCTTTCAAGGTACTAAGTCCCATGATCCTTTAAGTAGGACTCTCATGATCGGCAGCTGTCAGCTCCTCATGGACGTTTAAGACTTCGGCGACGAAGAGGGTGAGCCAATAACACAGCACCTTGGGCCATGTCCGATGTGGTTTCAGGGTTTTTTGAGTGCAGCGTCGGGGTTTAGGGAACTTCTGGTTTATGGTTTAAGGTTTATCGGTTTAGGGTTTAGGGTCTAGGGTTTTAGGGTTTAAGGTCTAGGGTCTATAGGGTTCATTAGGGTTTTAGGGTTTAGGGTTTTGGGCTTCAGGGTTTAAGGGTTTAGAAGCCCAAGCACGAGTTGAAAGAAGTTGGGGCTGCGCTAGATTGCGATCCTTCTTGGGCTACCGTTCTAGAGTACTCCTCGTCTTGTCCGTGTAAGTTATAACTTGCCGAGACAGGGGTGCTCCATGGCGGGATGCTCCTCCTGAAGAGGGTCGTTCTCCGAACTAGTGTCTCTTTTTGGCTCCACAAAATAGTACGGCACCGTTTTCACCCTAAACCCTTGCAAAAGGGACCCTAAAAGGACCCCAATTTTCGTGGGCCGCCCAAGAGCCTGGAAGATCCTAACGTATAGCGAAATAAGGGAGCTGCCCGTTTAGGGTTTATAGGGTTTAGGGTTTAGGGGTTTAAGGGTTTAGGGGTTTAGGGGTTTAGGGGTTTGGGGGTTTTGGGTTTTGGGGGTTTAGGGGTTCGGGGGTTTAGTTTAGAGGTTTTGGGGTTTAGGGCCTTTAGGGGTTTAGGGCCTTTCGGGTTTAGGGTTTGGGGGTTTTGGGCTTAAGGGTTTGGGGGTTTAGGGGTTTAGGGCCTTTAGGGGTTTAGGGGTTATAGGGGTTTAGGGATTTAAGGTCTAGGGGTTTAGGGCCTTTAGGGGTAGAGGAGTTTTGGGGTTTTGGGGTTTAGGGTTTATAGGGTTTGGGGGTTTTGGGATTAGGGGTTTGGGGGTTTTGGGGTTTAGGGCCTTTAGGGGTTTTGGGCCTAGGGGTTTGGGGTTAAGGGGTTTAGGGCCTTTAGGGGTTTAGGGTTTGTAGGGGTTTAGGGGTTTCGGTTTACGGTTTAGAGGTTTAGGGCCATTAGGGGTTTAGGGGTTTTGGGTTTGGGGGTTTAGGGGCTTTAGGGGTTGAGGGTCTGGGGCTTAGGGGTTTAGGATGAGGGGTTTAATTAGGATGTAGGGTTCAGAACGGCTCCCCAAAGTACATGCAAAACCCGTCCAGACGCGGGGCAGCCCCAATAAGAAGGCAGCCTCTTGATCCTTTGAGCGAAGAAACGCCAAACACTGAACCCGCCAACGCTTAAACTTTTAAACTCAGCAAACCCTGTACCGTAAAACCCTCAAGCCCTAAACACACAAACCCTCGGCCGTGTACCCTACTTAAACTCGAAGCCCTTCAAACCCCAAACCGTGCTCCAAACCCAAAAATTTCCAGCCCTGAACCCACTAAACATTCGAGAAAGTACTCCGAAGCCAAAAGCCCGAACCCGAAACCCCAAAACCCCGAACCTAACCCCTCCAAACCGCTTAGAATCCTAGACCCGGCTCTACACACAAAATCCCAAAACCCGAAGACCCCCCCAAAACCCTAAACCTCCAAAACCCTAAACCTCCAAAACCGGAAACCCTAAACCTCCAAAACCCTAAACCCTAAGCCTCCAAAACGCTAAACCCCAAACCTCCAAAAAACCCTAAAACAAGCGACGACTAGGGCCCCCAAAAGGCACATAAGCAAAAATTAGGATATATAGGGATATCCCATATAAATCCCCTTAAGATGAAGCCCAATAAGGTAGGGAAATCCCCCATAAAATGCTTATGCTTATGTCCCTAAACAACAATCTGCAGCTGAGGGTCATTAATCTTTTGCATCTTCGCGGGCGCTGCGGCGCCTCCAAGATCTTCAAGGGTGCTCCTCCAGGGTTTTTTGGGGTTTAGGGGTTTTGTGGTTTAGGGTTTACGGCTTAGGGTTTTCGGGGTTTAGGGTTTGGTGGTTCAGGGTTTAGGGTGTATAATTTGGCATTGGGGTCTAGGGCCAGGGTGTAGGGATATATGGTCAAGTTTTCAGATTTATCGAGTTTTACAGGGTTTAGACGGTTCTACAAGCTTTTCTGAACTTTCGGGGTGCGACTTCAACTACCTCAACTTGAAACCCTAGACCCTCAAAGCCCTGACTACTCCCTAAACCCTAAAGAGTCTTCCCGAGTCTTCCCTGTGGTCACGGCTTCAGGTTTGATGAACAATATATTGGACTGACTAGAATAATTAGCGCTTCGGGTTACAGTGTAGTACCTTTACCGGACTATAATGGACAATATCGGTTTAGGCAAACCCCCCCAAAACAACAACAGTTGTGGAAAACGACCCCAAAACAAGTCGGGTTTACGCCTACATCCGAGCACGACGGACCCAAACCCAAAGCCCAAAAAGCTGAACGGTTCAGGGCTTGGGGTTTAGTTAGGGAATCTGAAACCCGAAAGGCCTAAACCCCGATATCAACTTCGAAGCCCTCACGTGACTTCCAGCCCCCGACCCGGGCTCCTCGCCACTTGCACCTGTGTGCTCTTCACGCTAAGCCCTAGACCCTAAAACCTTGAACCCTAAACCCTACTAAACCCTAAACCTCCTAAACCCTAAACCCTAAACTCATACTCTGGAATTTTGGATTTGGGGTTTGAGGTTTGGCGCTCAGAGTCACGCACTACGATCACCTCTGTGTTTGTGAGTATACTTCGTGTTGATACCACAGTGGGCACCTCACAACTATGACTACGGCAAGCCCATCATGCTTTTTCTCGGACCGCTTTGATAACAGGCGTCATGCCGACAAACTCTGGATTAGGGTTTAGGGGCGGCGACTGTGTGGTTAAGAGGAAGACACGTCCGTCCTAGGGAGAATCCAAAGATACCGTTACCAGAAATAGTCAATAGTCATCATAATCTTCACCATAGTCATAATATGATCATTACTACTACTACTACTACTACTACTACTACTACTACTACTACTACTACTACTACTACTACTACTACTACTACTACGACTACGACTACGACTACGACTACGACTACGACTACGACTACGACTACGACTACGACTACGACTACGACTACGACTACGACTACGACTACGACTACGACTACTACGACTACTATGACTACTACGACTGCTACGACTACTGCGACTACTACGACTACTACTACTACTACTACTACTACGACTACTACTACTACGACTACTACTACTACGTACTGCAGCAGCAACAACAACTAATACTACTGCTACTACTGGCAATAATCACAATATAAACAGACATAACTACAATAATGAATGATTAACAACAACAGTAATACGAATAATATTGAGAATAGTGATAATAATAGTAGCAAAAAATCAGAATGACAAGAACGATAAGATAAAATCACTGTAACAATAGAACCATAATAACAATAATAAACATAATGTGACGGGTCACATTGTACCATGAAGCCTCAACTTTGCAGCTCCACGGAAACTCGCCAACATGTTGCATTTCCAGCATGGTTTGGTGTCGGTACGGTTTAGGAGTTCAGCATTATAGTCTTCGGGTGCTCTGCAAAGCAGGAGTCGTGTACAAAAATGCCCACCTGCCTCAGGCTGCTCTTCTGAAATCAACTCTGCAAGAACCCCCCCAGAAAGCCCAATACCCCTTAATTAAGGAATATGGCTTAAGATATATAGGGCTTCATAATAGGATCTCAGCTATATTCCTTAATTAAGGGGTATTGGGCTCTCTGGGCCCTAGCTGCTGACTCCAATGCCCACAGCATGCTGACCACGAGGCACTAACAGCCAATACCCAGAGCCCAGACCCCACAGAAAAACCACCTGAACTATAAACCCTAAAAGCCCCCTGGGATTGAGCCTAAAGCCCTGAACCAACGCCTGAACGGCCAGAAACAACAAGCCTTTTTCTGCAAACTCCTCAACCGACCACCAAGCGGTTAAGATAGGGGCCTTCGCGACCGACTGGCTTCTAAATAGGGCCCCTATAAGGGATAGACGGGCGCGCGAATTGGCTGATTTTGGTGGTGGCACAAATTTGGATAGGATTCGGGGTAGAAGTTGTTTGTAGAGTTCAGCGCCGGGTCTAGCCCGAATCCCTAAACCCTGAACCATCCCACCCAGCCAGCTCTCACCGACCTTGGCATCATCGAGGCCTTCATCCAAGAGAACTGTGGCGATGCGGTGCAGATTGTGTCCTACAGCGTTCTTAGACGATCATGGGACTTAGTAATTGGGGTTATAAATAGGGTAACTATAGTTATGCCCCAATTAGGGTACCTATGACCCTACTTATAACCCCAATTAAAATATTTGTACCTTACTTGCTATGTCCCAAGATCCTCCAAGTACCCAGAACCCTAAACCCTCATAGTATCCATACGGATCCCTAAAGGGCGCCATACGCCCTCTTCCCCAAGGCTCCCCTCATTCGACTGCTGGCTCCGATTGCCATCAGCCCCCCGTCTACAAGGAACCTCTACTTCAGATCACTCACCCAGAGAGCCCAATACCTCTTAATTCAGAAATATGGCGGAAAGTATATAGGGCTTCATATTTATGATTTATGCTATATTCCTTAATTGCGGGGCATTGGGCTCTCTGGGCAACTCTCGGCCCGATCCTCTGGGCACAACACGCACCTAGGCCTTTACGGCTTGCACTTAATATACATCTAGCTAACAAGGGGCGGCTATGACTCTGAGTCATACTGAGGGTTTAGGCTACTACCAATCTGCCTGATATTGTGCACAAAGTGGGCACCACAACCACCGTTGCGAATTGATTCAAGAGCCCTTTCCGACTTTTGAGTTTGGTCTTTTGGAACTGGCTATCCGATCGGAGAAATGCTCATCGCTGTTCTCGCCTGGTCGCGCCCTTCATCCAGGAGCAAGTGCAATATTTTTGCTGAGTTTAGGGTTGAGGGTTTAGGGTATAGAGCTAACGGTCCAGAGCTTTGGTTTCAGGGCCTAGCACACAAGAAAGCCTGAGACCCCAAAACCCCAAAAGTCCACGACCAAATGCCGCCATGGCGCGGAAATGATTCCACGGTCCTGTCATCATCATACCTCGCCACAATGTCAAGGGAGGCTGTAGCTTTAAGGTATAGGGTTTAGGGTGTCTGACTTTACGGGAGTAAGGATTCAGGGTTTAGGTTATGGGGTTGCAGGGTTTAGGGTTTGGGCCTGATCTGAGGGCTTCGGTTGTGGGGTGTTTAGGGTGTTATTTGTTGGGCTTCTTGGTTGGTGTGGGCCCCTGGCGCGCACGATGGCGACACGGAGGAGAGCAGTTCGAGCGACCTGCCCGACACCGCGGCCCCTGCGGCTCGGGTGGAGCGCGGGGAGGGCAGCGGATTCAGTGCTTGAGGGCTCCATCCTTGCTGTTCAAGGACTAGCTGGGACCGCAGAAGCATGTGGAATAACAGCCTTTTGCAGGTGGAGGGTTATTCTTTTATCTAGTCTTGGGGGGGCTTTGGTAAATCAATCTGCCGAGTTGCAGTCTTTCCAGGTGCATATTCCTGGGTTCAGGGTGCCGACTGACATGTTGTTGGACAAGTAATTGCAAACACCACAAAGGTAAGAAACACATCTTGCACATCAAACCATCGTAAAATCGCACAGCCCTGAACCCCTAAACCCTAAACCCCTAAACCCCCAAAGATGCCACCTGGCTGCGCCAGTCGAAATCCTCCTTCCAGGGCTCCAAGCCCAACTGGGCTAAGGGGGGCAAGTTCTCGAAGGCAGAAGGGCCAAGGGCCACCAGCAGCTGCAGAACCATCACGATGCCTGGGCTCTTCTTAGAATAGGGGTTCCTTTAAGGGGAACTCCAGAAAGTTGGAATATGGAATAATGGCAGGACCCCCTATAATTTACCTTAAAGGGATTATGATAATGATATTCCAACTTTCCGGCTTCTACTGTAAGGGATCCATGAAGGTTCCTTTAAGCCTTCAATCAGGGCTAAGGGGCTTTATAATAGGGATGCATACCATCACGATGCCTGGGTTCTTCTTATAGTAAGGCTCCTTGAAGGGATCCATAAGGGTTCCTCTAAGGGTTCAATCAGGGCTCAGGGGTGAAAACATATGGATCTATAGTAAACATGGTTTCTTGACATTGGTAACTTAAACTAAACTCCTTAACAAGAACCCAGATGCAAGTGAAGCAGGCGGTAGGCGGTCTTGAAAAAGCTCTCACCTGGCGTAACATAGGGGCCTTGATGATTACACTGGGGTCTTGGGGCCCATTATACCAATCTTATATTCTAAGAAGGGACCCCCAAAATAGTATAGGTAAATATTCAGGCCCCTATAATTCACGGACATCTGTCGGTCAGAGAGGCGAGTCGAACCCTATAATAAGGCATAATAAGGCAACACCTCCCGTCAAGAAAAGGCCCTGAAGGTGGAAACCTCCAACCCCTACAGCCTACCGCCTAACCCAAGACGAAGCCCAAGCTTCTACACCCTCATTTTTTTTCGGGGCCTCCGCGTACATCCTCGGCTCCATCTCCCCCAGGGGCTTCTCGAGCTCTTTGGAGAAGTGGGGCAAGCTGCGCTGGAAGATCAGCTTCTGGGGGACGCTGTGCAGGACCAGCCTCTGAAGAGCGGGGGTGAAGGAGTTTGAAGCATTTCTTATCCTTCGCAATTGCCAGACGAGCAACACCACCAGCAAGAAAAACAAGAAGAAGACAAGCAACAGCAGCAGCAGCAACAGTATCAACGGCAGGCAGAATTCAACACTAGCATGCGGTCCGGGTTCATACTCATGATCGGAGTTACGATGGTGCCGAATGCATGTTTGAAACAGGAAAGGCCAAACACCATGCAACTACGGAGAGCTGGGAAACTTAGGATCACACGGATCAGAACCGAATGAGCACATCCGTCTACAGAACAACCTTCACCCACAAGAGCCCGCACAAGTCTCCCTGAGGTGCCTGTGCAAAAATTGGCTTGTCCAGCAACATCAACCCCACTAGTGACGAGCCTGCATTCAAGCCCTCCGAACTCTCTTAACCCAGCTTTAGTACTGCGATTTCCCTGCCATGCATGTAGTGACCACGGAGCCTCTGGCAAATCGTTGGAACATTGACCTCCGGTGCAATCCGACTCTTGAAGTCTCCGACCGTGTCCTCCAGCGGTCAAGCGTAACGTTTGTTTGCTGACTTTGATTGGTGAAGAACATGGGGCCTTCAGGCCCAGGACCTGTTTCCAGTCGAAGTCCCGGTTATGGAGAACGGTGAAATTCCATCCCCGCAGGCCTTTCTATGTGTAACAAACTTTAATGAACACTTACCATTGCCCGTCATTGCAATTGAAAGTGGTGTGATGTCGCAGGTTATGTTGATGATGACGGTGATGATGATCATGATGATTGTGATAGTGATGGCGATGGCGATGGTGCCGGTGAGGATGATTCAATGCTACTGCGAACGCTCCTCCACTCACCTTGCTGCCCATTGCCCAACAGCTGGCCAGGTAGGGCCACACTTGTTGAAATTCATCCGTGCTTGAAACCCTCAGCATTACAGTCCCTGCACACACAGAAGGGGGAAGTTCCTCCAATCGAGCGGTGGTCTCCACCGTCTCGCCGCTGATCTTCTGGATGACGACGTGGACATCACCGCCATCAGCCATGGCATCTCGGGCTAAGTGTCGGGCTATTATCATGCAGGGGCTTGGGGTCACAAAGGCGCGAGAGTTGGAGAGCTTGAGGCTTTAAGGGTCCAGGCCACGACTTGCGTGGAACAGGTGGCTTGGAATTGCAAGGACTGCGTCTGGGTGGCCTACAGCCTTGGAAATCATAACTACCACAATCGCCCTGCATTGGCGAGCCTGACATCACCATCCACATCATCCTAAAAACAGTGAAGCAACCACTAATCTCTGCTGGGCCGACCTCAAGCTCCATGACAAGGCCGACACTTCCGCATGTAACTCCCTGAGCAGTAGTGTGCATTTGTCACCTCGTCAGTACGGATGCACCAATCATGTTTGCGTTCAACAAGGCTTCAGCAGGGCAGCTGTCTTCACCCGGGCTGTGACAAGGTTGGTGCCACATCAAAGCAACACAGTTCACGATGGCTGGTTCGCTCTCCGACTTCTGTCTAGGCCGTCATAGTAAGTTGGCTTCTATCTTTAATGCTGCGTGGTTGACCGGGGCATGGCTCTTCAACCTTGTCACTCCGAAGCCGCCGCTGCCTGGCCTAGCGCAGAAGCATGCAACAAAGAAGGTCTGAAAGCCCAGAAGGCAGGTAAACCATACTTTCCGTCTGTCAGAGTTGCAAAGTTCTCGTTTGCTGGATCAGCGCTCCTCTTGTGGTAGATACCCGGAGCCAGCTTCATACGCAGGCCAATCGTACATTACACACCGTGGCGTATAATCGAAGACAATCAGGTCAGGTAATGTTAAAGACGACGGATCTGATAGTAGCTTCTTTGACAGTTTGACCAATCGCTTCAGCTTCAATGCGAGCTGTCTGCCGGCTTCGTTCGTATCCACATTCTCGGCAACAGCCAAACATTTGCGTAGCCGTATCTTGTCTCCTCCAGCGAGGCCTGAGTGGTACAGGATCAACAGTGGTTGAAGGTGCATTGCTACCGTGAGGGGACCATCCATTGGCATACCAGCCACTCCGATGTCCCGGATGTATTTTTCCGCTGCAGCTGGCCTGCCGGCCACGAAATGCACTTTGCTCCGAGCTGTGTAGCACAGCAAATTCGGCTTCACATGCCGTTTGTTTACCAAGAGACCCCACAGCTTTTCAGCTCGTTTCCAGTCACTGCCGACCGCGTTGATGAGACCGCCTAATGTCACCTCGGTGAGGGACAACCTGTGCTTTTTGTAGATCGCGTCAATGAGATTGTCCACTCGATCGTGACGCCTGCAACTCTCCAAAAGCAACAAAAGTGGACCGTACTGCAGGCCGGTGATCTTATAGCCTTTCGTCTTCCCCCAATCCAGAATCTCGTCTGCCCATGGCAGTGCCCGGTCGCCGATTTCAGCGCAGACCCTCCAAGCAGCTCCGATCATGCAATGGAAGTCCAGCTCTGAGGACGGCGAAGGCATCCGCTTCCAAGCCTGCTTGCTCAAACTCAAGGCTCGATCCTTGCGGGTGGATAGCTCCGACGGGCGACACCGTGAGCCCTTCAGGCACGCAGCAAGGGCGTTTATAAAGATGGTGCGTTCAACAGCATCAAACTTCACCTTATGGTCAACTGCGCTGTTGTGCACATGCATAAGCGTCTCCCACCAAGACTGGTGACCACAAGTCTGTATAGCTGCACTAATCACACTGCCATCAACTTCTTGCGCGGCAAATGCATCCGATAAGATTTGAAGCAAATCTGCAGGCTTTCCGCAGTCTTTCAGACCAGCTCGCCAATGCGAAAACTTGTTGTTTCGATGTGGAGATTTGATCCTCTTGGGATCCGTAGGAGTAGTCGTGAAATACAATGGTTCCTTCGTCTTGCTCCTGCTTCGACCCGTTGCCGCTGTGTACGACTCAGCCGGCCGCAACATGGCCCGCTCACGCTGCAAGAAAGGGACCTGATGGGGCCTGGAATGACTGTGTCTCAGCTGAGATGCTGCCATGTATGCTCGACAACCAGCGCAGGCGACAAGATCACCGGGACTGGTGTTCCAGAAGCTTGTCTTTCCCTGTGCCTGCCTTGCACGGCCCTCCAGATGCAGCCGCAAGCTTCCTCCCAGCAAGGATCGGAGGTGGCCACGCATTCTTCCGCTACGAGGACTACAGATGCCAGGCGAAAGGCAGTCCTTTGAGACAGTATGGACAATTCCATGACAGTCAAGGCAAAGGGGCTTCAACCACTACTTGTGACCACACCAATACCCCAGGTCTGCGAGCAGAGCTCCATGCAGGGAGACATGCACCGGCAGGATGTAGGCTCGCATTTGTCTCACGATATGCAGATCAAGTCTATGTACAGGGATACGTCATCGGAGACGAGAACCAGTGCCCTCAGCAGCACTCTCAATCACCGTGAAAGATCACTGGGCATCTGTACGAACCTTGATACTAGTCTTGAGGCTATCGCCAGTGCATTCCCACCTGTTGTCTTTATGCCTCACTTTTTCTGTCGCTGTTATCACGGTGAGGACCATACATCTTGTAAGCCTGATGGTGAAGAAGAGGGCAGCGGGAAAACGGGGTCCGAACCCGGCCCTGCCGGCTGGGTGGAGTTCGGACGCTACGCAGCGCCGCCGGCGACGTGCCGGCGACGCTTCGGCAGGTGGAGGCCCGGGCCTTGGGACCTCCGCGTTGCATGAATTCCAGGCAGACATCCGTCGCCCAGGAAGTGGGCTGAGTCCTAAAATAACAAAGGAAAGCAAACAAGCCCATGGACCTGAAGGGTGTGAATGTTCCGGATATCGAAACACAATAGTAAACTATGTCTCGAAACAACTGGCATGTCCGGCTTGCCTTGAAGCTCTGGCTTGGAATTATGGCTCCTGTCATAATGTTCTGGCATATTTCAGTATAGTGCCTCTGGCATCAGAGCACTCGGCAAACCTTGGCAGCTGGCCGCTCAGGTTCCTCTTCCTGGGGCGCAAGACCCGTGCTCCAGAAGGGCTTCGGCTTCCCACAGAAAGAACAAAAGCCCGAAAGACGAAGAAGTCTAGAAAAGGATTCAACTGTTGAATGACATCCCTGAGATGTATACATTATAGTATCATAAGATTAGTCTTGCTTGGTAAACCCTGCAGGCTCTTCTGGATAAAGCCCTTGACCCCGGGGTTCCATGGACCCAGAAACCCTTGACCCTCAACCCCTCACAGCCAAGACGCCTGAAATGCTGCACCTTCTGAAGTTGCCCTGAAACCCTACACCCGAAACCAAAACCCCAAACCCCCTCAACCCTGAACTCTAGACCCCAAGCCCTAAACCCCGAAATCCCAAACCCTGAAGCCCTAAACCCGGATTCTAGCCCTATATAACTCTAAACCAAAAGCCTCAGCCCGTAACCCCAGGTGAAATTCTGGGGGGGCGCCTCCTCGGAGGTCGTCACCGGGAGGTAGTCCAAAGGACTGCTCTCATCTTCGGACTGCTCCGAGGATGGCGATGGCCTGAACAGTTTAGAGTGATAGGGTTTAGGGGTTTAGGGGTTTAGGGGTTTAGGGGTCTAGGGGTTTAGGGGTTTAGGGCTTGAGGGGTTGAGGGGTTTAGGGGTTTAGGGTTGCAGGGCTTGGGTTCTAGGGTTTAGAGTGGGATGGTTTGGGCCCTGTAGGGGTTTGGGGCTGTGGGGTTTCGGATTTAGGGTTTCGGTTCGTAGGCTTGCGGTTGTAGGTATTGGGGTTTAGGGTTTGGCGAGTTTCGGATTCATGTGTTAGGCTTGATGGTTTGGGGTCTGGGGCGTTAAGATGAGCTTGGACTGGAGGACTCTATCTTAATTCGGCCAAAGACGACAGCAGCGAGCTTAGGCATCAAACGTCGCTCTACTAAATCCCACAGTGCGTAGATGCTACTACACGTGGATATACCAGGCAAGACTTCAAGCCCAAACGAAGTCTGCGCCCAAAGAGATAGTTCCGAACTGAAGTCATCGTCCCTCCCCCCAGCACTTAGACGCTTTCATGACGATGGGCGACAACCACCTGTCCTTGCGTCGCAAGACCTCAATGCGGACCTCTGAGCCCTAAACAGATAATTTGAAGTTCTAAACCACGATTCCTGTTGGGCTACCTACATGGAGCATAATCCCTCTGAGTGCTCGGCTCTGCCACTTTCTCTGCCGGCTGTTTGGTGGAGTCCTTCACGACTGAATCGACAGCGCTGTCGCCTCAGGACATTTCGGCACACTCATCTCATTGCATAGACACTGTGCATTACAGCAAAAGACGGTGCGACAAAGTCTACGAAAGCGTAGTCCATCAAATCGCGTTGGTTTCTCACTTCTCTGGTGTCACCCTACGCTATATGACAGTATTATGCTATGATGTGTTCGGGCCCCCAGACCCCACTCCCCAAGCAGCACAAAGGAAACATAACGCCGCAATCCGAACACATCATGAGTGCAACAAAGCCCCGAGCCCTCAGAGCCCTCTTTGGAGGCATCTACAAATGGAAGAGAAGAACATCCTATACGCGGCTGAAACCTGAGCCCCAATCTAGACCCTGAATGGTAGGATGCTCATCAACAAAACGCAGACTATATTCAGACACCCAATACAAAAGAAGACCATGTACAGCCCCCCCCCCCAGTTGTATAAGAAAGGTCAAAACGAGACTTACAATCCAGAAGAAGCCACCTCCAGCCCGGTCTCCTGGAGTGTAGACGGTCTCCGGGGTCAGCTTCTTGCGGCCTAAGGCCGGAGATGTTGAAGGGGTGAGCATTTTGGGTTTAGAGTCTGGGGCTTTGGGCTTTGGGTTTGGGGTTCGGCTGTAGGGTTTGCGGTGTTTGAGGTCCAGGCTCCCAACCAGCCCTGAGCCAACCGGGTTTGGGTAAGGGTTAAGCTACAATCTCATGGCTCTAGGAAAAATCCCTGCCCTATCAGCTCCAAAGAGCAAAGCTCTTGGGAATCCCCAAAGCCCATGGTGCTTGATCTGGAACCGCAAACCAAGCCTTCCATCCAAACCCTGCCAAGACCCCGGCAGCATCGGAACTCCGATCCACGCCGCGGCGGCGGCGAGGAGGCTGCAATGAGACTTGTGTATTCGGGCTTAGGCTTTAGCGTTCGGGATCACGGTTTAGGGCTTGCAGGGCTTGGGGTTTATAGGGTTTAAGCGGGTTTAGGGTACTGTAGCAAACGTAGCCTACAAAGCTCAGACGGCATAAGGTGTGGACTGGGGCTTAGAAACAGTAAAAGGGTTGTTTTGTCATCTGTCTAGGGGCGGCTGCCGAGGGAGGGGTTCTAGGCTTCAGGGTTGCACTGCGGCATCTTTAACGCTACTGATTGGGGCCGTAACAATCAGAAGAGAGGCTGGGTGATATGTTGTAGAAAAGCTATAGAACGAACCGCAAGGCCCACAAATCATGGAGTGTACATGTGAGGGCGCTTACGGCATCCTTTTTGGAATGTGGGATTGGGGTTTAAGGTTTAGGGTTGAGGGTTTAGGGTTGGGCATGTCGGAGTTTGAAGGCTTCCGTGTTGCAGGTTTACCTGGCGGCATTAAGAATTCACCCACACCCCCAGATCCTGCACCTCAAAGCCCCGAAAACCCAAACCCAAACCCCGTTCCAAACCTCAAATCCCAAAGCTTCCGCCCGCTACCCCCCCCCCCCGCCCAAGCCAAGCACCTCGGAAGCCGCAGCGGCCCTGAGGAATTTAAGGTTTGGGGCTAACGATTTAGAGTTTGGAGTTGAAGCTTTCGGGCTTATAGACGTACAGGGTTTAGGGTCGAGGGGTTAGGTGTAGGCTGAAGGTTTGTTGGGCTTGACTGGTTTTTCCCAGGTGAGGGTTTAGGAGATGAAGTTTCTGTGGTTCAGGGGTTTACAGGTCTTGTCACAGGGATACATATATATATATATATATATACACATTGTGAGGGTGGCCCCTACCCACAAACTCCGGAATTTGTAACAACCTCGAAGTCTAATTCGTGAACAGCCAGCCAAATACCTAGCACCCAAGCCCGAAAAGACAGAAATCCAGACTGTCAGCCACGTGATGTCTCACACCTACCATGTGCTCAATGTAAGCCCTAGCAAAACACGATCCGTCTTGCAAGGAAGCGCCTCGTACCATTTCAACAGCCGCACGGAGCTCTCATCGCCGGCAGTGTATTCGTACTCCATCTGCACGGCACCTCGGGTTGCTCGTGGAAAGAAGGCCGCTCTCGCTGAGAAAAGCTCGAGGTAATTCTACCCTTGTCATTGACATCCTAACTGGCAACAAATGCCCTAGAATCCTGAAGCCCATCCCGAACCTGAAAGGCCAAAAACATGAAACCTTGAAACCCCAAACACGTTGTATCAACAGCGACACCCAATGTCGTAACGCCTCACCGGTTACTCTAGGCCAAACACCCGCAACAACAAAGCTGAAACCCAAGCACCCTGCACTCCTAAAACCCTTATCATGCCCATACATAAGACCGTGTAATACCATGTGAAACCCCATTACGACGACAAAAGTAGACGGCCCATGTCGTAAAAAAGTAATACCTGTCATAAAGACTCTCGTATAAGCACTTTAAAAAAGCATCAGAACCTCGTAATGAAGCAGAGCCCTAAACTCGAAGCCCGAAACCCAAAGCCCTGAACGCCAGACCCGAAACCCTAAGCCCTAAATCCCAAGGTGCAAACCCTAAGCCAAGCCACAGCAGCCCGATTCCAAGAGGCGGCGCTCAGCTGCAGCGATAAGGGCCTCGTCTGGAAGAGTTCACGCACCATGGGGGTTTAGGGTTTTGTTCGGGTCCATACCTTCCATTATAAACATAGGGCTTGTTATTGTTGTTGTTGTTGCTGCTGCTGCTGCTGGTGTTGTTGTTGTTGTTTGCAGTGTATTCCTCAGTTAAGCGGTCATAGGTTCTCTGAGGAACACGAGTTTCGAGCTACAGTTTGGCATAGGATATTCAGCGACTAAACTCTATGACACCCTAAATTACCCCATAAAACACGTTAAATCCATATGAAACCCTATGAGACCACATAGAACCAGGTAGACCCTCAAAAACAAGCCTTTCAGCTGCTATGGTTCGTCCGAGCAGCCGAGGCCACGCCAGTGCCTTGGGCCTCCGGATGCACCGACAAAAGCCCCCAGTGGCCACAGGACCTGCCAGGCTTGCTGAGGTGTTAGTGCTCTTGGGTTTCCAGGTTGAGGGCTTTGAGGGATTCGGGGCTTTAAGGTTTGCGGTCATTATGAAGTTGACGGAGTGAGGGTTTTAAGGTTTACGGCTTGAAGTCGAAGGATTGATGGCTTTAGGGTTTAGTGCTTCAGGGACGCGGGGATTCAGAAAGCAAAACAATGGAGTTCGTGTTTGCTACAAGAACGAGCTTTTCATGCCAGCCGAGACCCGAAGCTGGAGACGCTCAACCCGAAGTCTCCAACCCTCCTTCAAGGCTTAGGGATTTAGGATTAAGAGGTTGAGGGAGTTACTTGGAGGATCATGGGACTTAGTAAGTAAGGCTATAAGTACCCTAATTGGGGTTATAAGTAACTATAACTAACGCTACCCTATTTATAATCCAAAGGGTTTGAGGGTTTAGGATCCTGGACCTGCTTCTCCACCTTCAACCTGAATGGTTTAAACTTCGAAAACCATCGAAAATACGAAAAGGACATCCAGCCCTACTACTTGGAGGTTCTTCTAAGTAGGGTTATAAGTCCCCTAATATGGGTTGTAAGTATAGTCTTATTACCCTACTTACAACTACCCATGAACCTCCAAGTACAACCTACGTAAACCCTATGAAACCCTGCCAAAGATTCCTTAACCCCACAGGACAGAAGGGGAAACGTCTCATGTGGCCTGGGGGTCCAGGGAGGCTGAAGCGTAGAGGAGCAGCAGCCCACCAGCTGCCTCAGAGCGTTAGCAGCGCTCTGAGTTTCAACGACAAGGCGCGCATAAGACCATACCCCCCTTAGAACCATAACAAAAACAACATGTTTGATATTCTCTTGGGTTTTATATGAACGAAAACAAAAAATCCGAAGGAGACAATAGAAGACTCAGAGCCTCTGCCGCATGAACCCGAAACCTTTACCATAAACGAAGCCCTGAATCCTAAGAGCCTAAACCTACATGGCCCTGCATGATTTGTTCCCTCCGCCCTCCCCTCTTGGCTTCCCTCAAGTGCTCTGCTCTCCCACGCTGCTTGTGTGTGTGTGTGTGCGTACACAAGCAAACACAGAGAGATGTGCAGTTCAAGAGAGCAGGACGGGGGTTTCAGCTCGACACGTAGAGCACAAGTCCAGCACCACAAAACCCGAAACTACCAAAAACAAATGTCTGCAGCTGCGGGGGGACCATAGCTGGGCCTTGTGGAAATGCTAGCTGCTTAGCGTTGTGGGGGCCTTGCCAACAAAGTAGAGCAGGCCTTTGGGGTTAGTATTCAGGCTTGATATATTCTGCTACCCTTGCAGTGGAATTTGCTAAAGACGATGTATACGACTGCAGAACACTGAGGCCCCCAAAATCAGGCCACCCTCCCTCCAAAAAACAACCAAGTTGGCCGCCCCATCCATCCAGTCAAGGTGCTTCCCGCGGAAGGCGAGGTGCAGCACTCGGTTGGCATCTGCAGGAGTCACTATCCCAAGATTTGCAAGGCTCAGCCCCATTGTCTGTAAGTTTGCAAGTTTCTGGGATTGCAACGCTTCTTGCACCAAATTTTCCACGCGCAAGCATTAGCAAACCTTGTATGGGACTCACCCAAATCGGCCGAGGTCTGAGAATAGCAATGCTATGATTGCGAAACCAGAGGCAACCAAAGCTGAGCTCTAAGGGCCCAGACCAGAAACTAGAAACCCAGCAGAATCGTCCTGCACCCAACGCTATCAAACCCCGTAGAGCACCTAGAGCCTCTTCACTACCAATCCCCGAACTTCACCCCATTAAACCCTTGGGCACCCTCATCATCGCCCATGGCCAGTCGTCCTTTGGCTTCGTTCTCCGACAAACGCCGATAGCCGTAGGCCTGACGCGCGAAATTGGAAAGTTCAGCGAAAAGCCCCGCAGCCTTGAGGGTTCAGGAAAACTGGGACTTAAAGGGTCGGTGGACTAAAGTAGTTATAGTCTTATAGTTAAAGTTAATTACGTTACTTACAACCTGACTTCCTCAGTCCTATGATCCTTTTAATTAAGCGGCATCCCCAACCGTAAGAACCCTACAACCCCTAAACCGCAAAACCTGAAGGACGCTTTCCATCCTCTTCTCGACGCCTCGTTGCAAAGCTCAGCCACCTTCCGCGCCAGGTGCTTGTCCTCTGAGGTGCCAATTACCACCTCGACGGCCTGCAGGTTGAAGGTTCTTGGAGGATCACGGGACTTAGTAAATAGGGTGTATTAACTATAGTTATGTTTACTTATACCCCCAATTAGGGTGCTCATAACCTTACTTGCTAAGTCTCCTGATCCTCCAAGTTGGGGTTTGGGAGGCTTACGGATAACGGCTGAAGGCTAAGGGCGTGGGGTTTAAGGTTTGGGGTTACGTTTTGGGTTTGGGCTTGCTTTGGAGTGCGGGGTTTGGGGACTAGGGTTGGGGGTCAGAACGGCAAAAGGGCCCAGGGTGTCGGGTTTAGGGTTTGGGTTTGGATGGTTTTGAAGCATCCGGCTGCCATGGCCCGTGAAGGGGATGGGGCAGTCAAGAGCTAAAAAGTATTCAAATCACAGTTCTACACGCATCGACAACTCTTGCCACTTCATGCATAAACGATCTTCAAATCTCTCCCTAGACTCGACAAACTGCTGAACCCCAAAACCTACACTCGGAACTCGAAACCCTAACGGTCTGCAGGGACACCTCCTTCACGGCCCTCTTTGAAGAAGACTTCTCCGCGCAGTCTTGGGGCGAGTCCTGCAAGCGCGCCAGTGGCTATATCCTCATGAAGGTTTGGGGATTACAGTAATTAGAAGCCAGAGAGTTGGAAGATCACGATCCTCAGACCCTTAAGGTAAAGTACAATGGATCCTAGCAGTAGATTCTCCATATACAGAGCGTCTTATTTAGAGATATGGTTTCAGCAAGGGGCATTGGTCTCTCTGGGTAACGCAGTACTGAAGCTTCGGATATGCATTCAGATTTTGCGCGTGGTGGGGATGGTAGAAAGCCTAGCGCAGCAGCGAACCTGTTCACATCTATTGAGTTGCACATGGCATTCCATGCAGACGAAACCGTGACTGGCCTTGGATGGCAGAACTCCGAAATTGACAACTCGGTTATGAGAATCTTGAAGTCTTGCGGCCAGAACGTTGTAGAATTATATAAGACAAGTGCCGACAAAATTGGAAGGAGGCTTCTCAAGCGACTATTGAGAGTCACTGAAGTTACACAGAAAGCACGTTCATCATGGTGATGAGTACTTACAGCCCCACACTGCAGCCAAGCATCATCTGACGCTGCGGTGGAGGCCTCGCTCACCGTCTTGGCAGTGGGCTCGGCTTGTGGGTAGCCAGCGCTCATGGCAACTTGCGCCGCTCGTGCCGGCGCGCGGCTGGCGGACAGCGAAGGTGTCGCGCAGGTGCGATGTGGAAACAGGCTTGAGATGCAGGATTGTGTCGCGGCCCTCTTGTGCTTCTTACCCCCTCAGATTGAGGCCATGATTGACTTGAGAATAACGGCATTGTCAAGACTCCCAGTTCCTGAGAACCAGGGCATTGCAAAGACAAGCGCCACGTGCAGAAGCACACAATATGCAGAAGCGCACCGGACAAGGCAAAGCCCAATCAATCCCTAAGCCGAATTCTCCCAAACTAAAGGTTCAGGGTTTGAAGGCTTCGGTTGATGGTTTAGGGTTATTGCAGCCCAACAAGCCCTTGGACCTGCACCCCCAAAACCGAACATCTGATCATGCACCCTAACAAGAAGCCCCAAAACCCCATACAACCCTGCTCATGAAACTGCGCAAAACCCTGTCAACAATTAGAAAACGAGACCCTAGAGCCCGAAACCCAGAACAGACCCCCTAATCTGAAAAGTCTAGCGCATTTTGGAAGCTCACACAAATCTCGGTCGGGGGAACCGCTCGGCTGTTTGGGCTTCGCTGTCTTGCTGGCTGCTCTCAAAGATCAAGGAAGGAAGCATAGCGACTATGTGGCTAAGGGAGTAGGGATTGTTAGACGGTGTATGTAGGGTTCCTCATGGTTGTGCGACTCAACATTAATTACATAGTTTCCAAAGCTTGAGTAAGGGCCCGTGAAGAAACCTTGCGATTCCCCCTGCGCCGCCATTAAGATCCTGCCTGGCACGCTCTGCGCCGGCGCGCCGAAAAAGAGGGCAGGAAGTGTGGGCTGGCTTCCAGCATCCCAATTCTTCAAAACGCAAACGGGTCTTCTGCGACTTCCCGAAGCCTTTTACAGACTTTAAAGGAGCTAGTCGTACTAAGAACGACAAGAACAATGCTACAAGTAGTAGTAATACAACAATTATAGCAAGAATCATACTAATCAGAGCTACTAAATAGGGTTCCGCTTTGTCGGATGCTGGAAGCATCTCAGCCCGAAGCCCGGAGAAGCTGTACACGAGTAAAGACGAGAGGAAGCCGAGCATTGGGCGACTTGTGGATTTCAACAACGGTCGTGTGCAAAAATACAGGCATGCAGACATAGAGAGAGAGAGAGAGAGAGAGAGAAAAAAACAGTAAAGAAAGAGCGACAGAAAGAACGACAGAAATAAATAACAAATGAAAGAAAGAAAGGACGAGAGTAGATAGATAAAATAGATATCTGGATAGATAGAATTTGCTTGAGGGTTGGTGGCCTTGGGGCACTATGGACGGGTGGGGCTTGGGGATTTTCGCGTCGAGGCTGTCGGGGCTTCGAAGCTCGTGAGGGAGCTCTGGAGCAACCGCAATCAGAGATTCGATGACACGAGTGTTTTCTGCTTGTTCGGAAGGGGGCATGTGATACTAGCATTATACAGAGACGTACAAGGAATATGATCACCATATCTATTCTCATACAGGGACGCTAAGGGGACATTATTACTCTATGTATTCTTGCATCTTCATCCCTGCCCTAAGATGATAGACTTCCTCCAAGATCCCACTATACTCTGATAGAGCAGTATACTCCCAAGAAGGAAGTCAGGTGCTTAATGGGGCTTAAGGTCTTTTAAAGGGTGGTTTAGGGTTGAGGGACTATGATTAGGGTTTAGGTTTTAGGGTTTAGGCTTTAGGGACTAGGGTTTAGGGTAGGGCCCTGTGTGAACGATGCAGCTGCGGCTTGCACTCGTATTCTGAGCAGGTTGGGGGTTCCCAAGCAGCCGCTTTGCGGAGCTTGCAGACTCGCCTGCCACTGCCAAAACTGTATATACACGCTGGGCTGGAAGCCTCTGATAAGCAGTTTTGGGATATCTTCTTGTAAAACTGTAAACAGAAACCCAAGGAATAGTAACAGTATCTCACACAAGCTAAAGCATACCGGAACTTGCATGAGCATCCTCATCCTAAACGGCAAGATCTACGTCGAATCATCTCGCCCTGGCGTCTCTTCCTCCGAGTCCGATTCCTGGACGGGCCCACATTCGGGGGCTCGGGGGGAAGGCGATACCTCACCTAGGGATCTGAATGACTAGAATAGGGTTCCTTTTTGCAAGGATTCCTGAAACTTTGCAGTGCCGGCTGCCCCGACCCCAAATCCTCTCCGGCCGTCTGCGACTTGAGGACGTGTCCCCAACATAGGGGCCTTAATGATTAGAATAGGGTTTTGGGGATGTATTATACTATGCTTACAATAAGGAGCCACACCACCAAAATGGTATTGGTGATGATTTAGGCTTCTATATTATATCTCTAGCCGCCCCGCAACCCCCATGAGTTATCGAATCTCTACGAATCAATCAATCGCAAGGGTGCTCGGACTGGTCAGTACGCCGCACAGAGCCTTAAAGTTGCTTTCGAGAGGTGTGAAAGCTACAATACATCGTAGTTGGTAGGTCTAACGATGCAGAGGCTTTCAGAGTTCAGTTTCGATCGCGCGACGAGGGCGGCTATCTGGGCTTAGGGGGTCGTGTTTGTTGTTTATACTATACTTTACTATATTGTACTAGAATGTCTTGTAAAATGTCGTATTACATCATACAAGTATCCTATTATTCGCTCCTATCTCGGTCTGCTAGCCTCCCGAAGAGTCCCTCGCGGCAGAAGGGGGTTTCCCGGGCGGAGACTTTCTGCCTGCACCCTGATAAAGCTTCAAGAGCCTAAACCCCATGAGGCTTGTGGATGAGGCTTTTGGTTAAGGTTTAGGGTTTAGGGTAGATTTGGCAAAGCTGCAAACATCAAATTGCTTGCTTCCCCGTCCCAGACCCTGACGTCCCCAAGCCTTGAAGCAAACCGATGCGCCCCCCACAAGGAAGGCCACTAGTAGTAATAACAATGATAGAACCAACAATACGAGTAAGATGCTCATAATGCCAACAACCAGAAGAATGATAAAAGTAGTAATAAGAATAACAACAATAAAAATGCGAACCATAGCTGGCGCGCTGCCATGGCCTCTTCGAGGACGGCAGAAGGAAGTGGCATGGGGTCCAGCCTCGAGGCTCATATAAGGGCCTTAATCTTAATAAGCAGAATAGGGTGTTGGGGTTTAGGGTTTAGGGTAGGTTGTTGGGGCCCACTATACTATAATATTGTAATAAGGTACCCCCCCAAAATGGTACCGGTAACTCTTAAGGCCCCTATACTAAATTGCCGAGGCCCGAAGTTGGAGATGAGGGCACCATCTCTTAGGTCTCGCACATCTGCTCAGCAAGAACCCAACCATATGTTAGAAGCTGCCCCCACCCTGTAATAGTGACTATAAGGATTACATTAGGGCCCTATTATATTCCCATTATATTCCTATTATACCACTATTGCAGGGTGGGGGCAGCTTCTAAACCATATGGGCAGTTGGGTACCCTAAATACTAGGTGCCGTATTATAATAAGGACCCAAAAAAGGACCCCAATTTTGACAACCACCCCTACAGAGTAAACCCTAAACCCTAACCATGGTCCAAGGTCGCTCGCTTATGGAAGCTCCAAGATGCGAGTTGTGTAAAACGGATGAGAGATGATGTGTCTCACTGCTTTCATGTTTGGAATCCAGAAGCCTCCGGGTTTCGCTAAAGAAAACCTGCCAAGTAGCCGGTAATGCACATCAAAACCAACAGCAAGCCACGACGTTGCTTCGAATTGAATTCGTGGAGGATAGCTGAAGCCGGAGAGCCACCAAAAAGGCCCGCGCCTCTCCCGGAAAAGCTGCACCGGCGTGTCGTACAGTGGCGCACCTCTGAGTGGTTGGTTGCTATATGCCGTTTCAAAGAAATCAAGGACTTCTAAAACAATTGTAACAGGATCCAAGATATGGAATATGCGAGTCACTATCCCCTATAGCTCTAACTCAACCCCCAGAAAAGACTCAATCAACCACCGCTTGAAAAGTGGTCGATTCTCGTCGATACAATGAGGAGCCTTTCCGTGTTTGCTAGATCCTACAGGGAGTCCGCAGAAACCCAGCCTGACCCCTCAAGCCTAAACCGCCTTATGATCTGCCCATAGCCAACAATACATGCGTCCAGCTCAGGGTGCAACTCTGCCAAATCCAAAAACTTGTACCAGCCCCCCTTGTTTTGCCCGAACCCAATACCACAAGACGTGCCTCTTCACCTCCTCAACACTAGCCAAATCCAAGAGTATGAGCCCGCCTCATCCCCCTATCGAAGGGTTCTGACCCTTGTAGAATCCTGGTTGAAAACGCAAGGCACCCTACAAAACCCTGTAAGCGTTCCAACTGTTCACTCCCAAGCGAGCTCCCAAGCGAGGGCCTATCAGCCATGGGTCCAGGCTGCCAAAACCTCGAAGACCCAGACTTGGCCGAGAAGCCCGTCAGGGCTGAGCCCTTTCAGGTTCGGGGCTCAGGGTTTGGGGCGTGGAGTAGTAAGCAGGCTTTTAGTGGCGTGCTATGGCCCCAAGCGGGACTACTTATCGCACGTAAGACCCCACTCATGAACTGCTGACGACATCTGCTGCTCGTCTTGTCACCAGCTGGTTGAGATCAGGATACTGCTTATGATTGTTTGGGGGGTCCCTGGATACATCACACGTTGAATTTGAACAGCTTGTCCTGAACAGCTCTGGGCACTTTCTGCCGGTTGTTGGCTTGGGGTTGAAGTCATAAGTCGTAAGGGTTTGGGTTGGCTGCTGTACCACTGCTATGGCTCCTGCTACTCCTACTGCTACTCCTACGACAGTCAGTGCTGCTTGTCATGCTTGTCTTATGCTGCTGCACCACTACCAGTATCACAACCGGAACCACCACCACTGCACGGCTCGGTTGCGGCTAGTGCTGCTGCCACTGGACGCAGACGGGTGTGGTGTTTTGTGCAGCTATAGAGGGGCTCTAGGGCAGATGCAGTATTCCGACCCCTGAAGTGGAAAGACTCGGTTCCAGACCATCCGCCCTGAACACATCGCCGCCCATCTCCTGCATCTCGAAGCAGGTAGTCGGCGAGTCTCTGAGCTACGATTGGGCAATTTATGGTACAATATAGCTACGGCCATATGCACTTTTGCTATGTCAGCAATAGAAGTAAGCATCGAAAAAAGCAGTGGCGAAAGTGGCCATGACTACTGACGATTATCTGAGTGCTCCAAAGATATGTTACCATCATACGTGCTCCAATAATGGGACTGGGTCTAGGGCTTAGGGGTTTAGAGTGCAGGGTTTACGGATTTCAGGATTAGGGTCCAGGGTTTAGGGCAAACCATACGGAGTAACCCCAGAGTTCTACAAACCACCCTGGTTCATGAATAAGCATATATCTCTAAAGCACTAGCGACACTACCCGAACAAAACATAAACCTCAAAAAACCCTAAAGCCCAGACCGCACACACCTAAAGTCTACTCAAAAACATCAAGGAACGAACCGAAAAAACTAACCTCAGCTTTCTTGTTGCTTAATCATTAGAGTAGGATGTTGGGTTTATATGAACCAGAGCTATTTCGGGACTACACGAGGGCACCATCGCAAGCACTCAGACCCTTAGGGGAAGTCAACAATGCCAACCATAAACGAAAAATATATGCATGCATGCATGCATGCATGCATACATACATACACACGTACTTACCTACCTACCGAGCCACCTACCTACCTATGCACATACATACACACATGTGCTATATAAAAAACATGAAAACAACGAATGCAACGATAGTGCAAATTACGGCCAGCAATAAAAGCAATACTAATACTAATATTAATGAACACTCATATTGCTACTAGTGCTAATCCTCATATTAATACCAATACCAATACAAATACTAGTCCTCATCCCATGACGAATACTAATACTGCACTACTGCGAATCCTAATCAGTCCTAATCCTAACACTAATCCTACTCCCAAGACTGATACTAATGCTACTAGCTACAAATACCAATTCTACGGTTGATGATATAAATCCTGCATGACCCAAACTAAGGAATATACCATAATTCCCATAGTTTCCGGTCCTTAAGGTAATTCAGGATTTATATCATCAACCGTAGTACCCTCGCTGCCTGCACCCAGCTATCCCGAGAGTCGCTTCGCTCCTGGCGGCTCCGACTTATTGAGCTCCCCCTATGGTAAACCCCAAAAAGTTGGAAACCGGGTTAAGGCCAAATAGTGCTGGGATTCCCTATACATTACTCTTAAGGATTGAGGCTATGAGCTTTCCAACTTTTGGGCTTCTACTGTATGGTAGAACCCCCAGAAAGGGTTTCAGGGTTTGAGGTTTAGGGTTTGGGGGTTGGGAATAGCAGCACTGTTTGTCGTTAATCCGGTTTCCAACTTTCTGCGGGTTTACTGTATGTACAAGGAACCCGAGAAAGTTGGAACATGGATTTATTTCAGATGATGTGAGGCTGGGATCCCCCATGTAGTAGTGTAAGACCATGAGAACAGTCATGTTCAAACTTTCTGGCTGCGACTTTATGGTTTATTCAATGCATGGGTCTACACTGGCTGTGCCCGCTTCGGTTGTAGGCTGCAAAGGTTTCGGGTTTTGGGTCTTGAGGGGCGTAGCAGTGTATTGGAGCCTTCTGTTAGTGTGAGGTTTGGTGGATTTTAATTTGTTTTGGACCTTGCTGCTGGTGCGACTTCATGTCTTGCCTTGTGGTTGGTTGAGTTACGTTGCTTCTTGTGATTTTGGGTGCAGGAGTCATCTGGGCTCGGGGAGTTCGGGCTAAGGGAGTTGAGGGTCCTGGGCTCTTCAAAGCTTCTCGGGGCTGCTGGGTCTTGGGGTTTCTGGGGCAGAGGCATCAGGTTCCAGGATTTGGGACTTAGGGCTGAGGGCTTGTGGTCTTCAGGGTGGAATTAAGGATTGTTCTACGCTGTACAACTTAAACTGAAAATTAAATCTACGACACTGGGGTTTATATGTGTGCGCCCTGATGTTTACATTCCGGAACAACACCCTGCGCATACGATCTTAGTGTCTGTGGCTGTGGGGGTTCAAAGAGGAAGCACCTGCAGCGGAGGCAGCACCAATCCGGGACATCGCAGCGGACACTTGGCATGCCTGGGGTGCGTAGAGGACCACCCCCTCACTGAGCACAACTGACCGAGTCACTAAGCCTTGAGCCTTGTTAAAACCCGTATGAGGCTGCTATCGTACCAAATATACCCTGCGCAATACCTTCTTTAATCCCCCTGATGGTCGTTCACTACTAACGTGACCATCATTGTTTTACTCCTCCTCCTCCTGCTGCTGCAGTACTACTACTAATACCATTCCTCTTCCTCCTTCCTGCTCCTCCTACTGCTGCTACTACGACGGCGACCACAACCACCGGAGCATTAGCAGACCGCTCGGCTGCGGACTGATGCAGCCATTCACCGACACACCTCGGACGAGGGCGTCGTGGCCACAGGTCGTAGGATTTCGGACTTTGGGCTTTCGCGCTTGTGAGTGACCCGAAGATTGGAGATAGGGCTCTATGTTGTAAAGGCCTGAACTACAGAGCCTAAAGTGACGAAGTCTCTTTGTTCTGGTTGTGCCGCTGCTGCTGCTGCTGATGCTGCTCTTGCTGCTGGTGCTGCTGGTGCTGATGTCCTGCCGCTAAACCTGCGCATGGTGTCACTTGTACGTCGTTGCTACGATAGTCGTGGTGGAATGGCTTCCAGCAACGCCGAAATCTTGGAGACGCCTGAAATCCTCAGCCATCATTTTGTAACCGATGAGAAAGCGCAGAACCAAACACCAAAACGTCTCTGCACAGCAGGTTTGGAGTGTACTGCATATAGAGCTGTAAGTCTGGATGCGAAAAACACTTCCCTAGGCCTTGCCTGTTATGCAACTTTGCACGGGGACCCCAAAACAATGAAGGAAAAGTGGGGAACGTAGCCATAGTAGCGGCTCATAAGTCGCTTGCAAAACCCGATTAAGCCCTTACAACATGCAGACGAGTGTAGTATACTAGTTCTCAAAACCCACTAAAGCCCTTATAAAGATCATAAAACGTGCATTTTTCAAAAACCAATGAAAGCCTTTATACAGATCAGGAAAAGTGTATTTCCAAGGACGAAAGGCTCGCGGTGGAAGGCATGGCCGCAAGGAAGCCGCGAGAGGGTCTCGCCGGGCCTGGCTTCGAGCTTTACTTTAGGGGCCTCATTGGAGTAGGGCTCCTTCAAAGGGTTCCTCTAAATAGGGGCTACTATAAGGGATCTATAAGGGTATTATAATATTTTACTTGGGGGCTTCCGAAAATAGGGGACCCTAATACAGTACCCAAAGTAGTAGGATCCTTATTATCAGGGCACAGCGTGAGGTAGCCCGTATTTTCGAAAACCCCCAAATGGTTGAACAAAAGCCTAACTTCAGATTTTGGAGCTTCGAGCTACATGTAAAGTTTAACGTTTAGTCGCAAAGTTTAGATTTTAGTCTAAGGTTTAGACTTCAGGGCATATGGTTTGGCGTTGCATCTTACGGTTGATAAGTTCGTAAAGTCTAAGGTTAGCCTACTGCTGGGCTACCCATCAGTATCCCCTGAGTTAAAACAGACTACAAGTTGTCTAGGATCTAGGATCTCTAGTAGCCAACAATAAGAAGCTCCCTTTTTGGACATGGGTCACAGGAACGAAGACCGGACAAAGGGCCCACTGGATCGAAGATCTTGGGGTTCAGGGCTATAGCGTTTCGGGCTCGGGTTTCGGAACTTGCGTTTTGGGGTTTAGGGTTCAATTAAAGTCTGCACCTTATGTTTCAGTTCAAGGGTCGGGTTTGAAGGATGGGTTGGGTCTGGGGCAAGGGAGTCCGGCATCGGTCGGCCAAGATGCAAAGCGTAGTCTTGCCGAGTCCCAAACCCCCACCCCGCGCAAAACCTCACAGCACTGACAACATATAAACCGATACAAGCTGTGAAACGCCGAACCTTCCAAGCCCAGAGTACGAAGAAGAGACAGAAACACAGTTTGAGTCTTCACTCCGTTCACGGCTCATGCTCCCGCAGTTTCGGCTTTTTCAGTGGCAATGCGGGATTGGGGCGTACATGTGTTGGATGCGATGTTTCTTGGTCTCCTCCACTTCCTTGGAAGCGGAATCAAGGCAGCGCCACTCCGGGTCTTGCTCGTTCCTGACCTCTACTACAGGGGCGTTAATGATTAGAATAAGGTGGGGGCCCAATACAGAATCCCCATCTAGCATGGGGAACTATTGAGGGCCCTATATTCGTTGCAGGTTTGCCTCTTCATAGAGGCCCTGCTGAAGAGGATCCTTGTCAATACAGGGGCTTGAATACTATTTGGGGGTTCCTTATTATAGTTATAGTAGAGTGGGCACCAAAACCCTATTCTAAATATTAGGGCCCTTATGTTACTTCCCAAACACCATCGCATCAAACCTCTGAGAGGCGAGCTCAAACTCTGCAATGCAGATCACGCAGGTCGGCTCAAACTTTGCCTCAGAGCTTGATGTTTAGAGGTTTAGGGTTTAGAGGTTTAGGGATAGGAGTTTAGGGTTTAGGGTTCCGAAATTAGGGCTTAGGGTGCCGCTGCCTAGAGAGCTTGCAGAAAACGCTTGACAACTTCGAGGATCGTGGGACTTAGTGAAGGTATCTTGGCCGGGTAATAAGTAATTCTCAGTATATTCTCCTTGCTTCTATTCCTGTAGTTACTAAGTCCCCTGTTCCTGTAACAAAAAGCACATACGCAAAAATTAGGATAGGGATATCCCATATAAACCCCCTTATAATGAAGCCCAATAAGGTAGGGATATCCCAATAAATTGCTTACGCTTATGTGCTTCTTGGGTCCCGAACAACTGAACAAAATCTGAGTTGCGGGCCGACGCCAAATCTTGGGGGCTCGTCACATGAAAGACCTGACACAGAGTCTGTACGGGCTTTCTGGGCTTAAGGATGTGCGGTTCAACGTTTAGGGCTTTAGGGTTTTAGGGTTTCGGGTTTAAGGCTTTAAGGTTTTTGGGTGTAGGTTTAAGAACTTTTGCTTCAAGGTTTGGGATTTAAGGTTTTCGTTCTGCAATAAGCATTTACGGCGCTTAGGAGCTGCAGGAGCGGTTATTGATTTTTCTGAGGGTCTTATTGCCTTGGAGAAGTCAAAGTTGTTTGGACCTCTTGGATTTAGGGCTACGGCCTCGGAGGTTAAGGCTTTAAAGGTTGTTTAGGGTTTGGAGCTTTTGGGGGGTTTTGCTGCGGCCCTTAAAACTAGAGAACATCATGCCCCGGTGGCGTGTTTGCCAATATTTTAGTGAAAGTTTCTTGTTCATGCATCCAGACACCGTCGCACTAGCACTCAGGAAATACACATTCCGGAACATCCCACAAACCCCTCAGCTCAAGCCACTAAACCTTAAACCTCAAATGGGACGGTTCGGTCGACTACTACTCTAACCTGGTGTGGAACCCCCTCCGCTAAGGATTCCAGAGTATTTTGGCCTAGCTCCAGGATTCTGCAGCTGTACCCAGGCAAAAACATCCAAACCCCCCAATAAAGGATAACACCGTGGACCAGGTTTAGCGTGGCTTAGGCTGTAGGGGTTTATGATGTAGGCTTGTTGAAGATCCTAAACAAATGTCAGGCGTGGTCCTCAACCTTGGCTACTACTTGGAGGATCATGGGACTTAGTAAGTAAGGTTATAAGTACCCTACTTGAGATTATAAGCAATTATCACTATAGTTACCTTACTAATAACCCTAGTTACTAAGTCCCATGATCTTCCAACTATTCCTTCGTGCTCCGGTTGTATTTATAGTCAAACACCCTAGTCTAACTACCAAGGCCCCGGTACCCTAAACCCCTCTAGTGTCCTTGCAGAAACCTTTAAGGGAACTCGTTAAGGCAACCCTCCTCTCACTAGTATGGGCCCTTCGCTTGCCAGGGGGGTTCCCATGGCTCAGAGACCCAGCTGCTTTCACAGTGGTGCTAGTTGTAGGGCTTCATAAGGGTTCGATAAGGGTTATAGGTTTCCAAGAGAGCGATAGGATTTCAGAAGGGTTACATTGCGGTTGTTGAAGGGTCTGTTGAATGACTTGTTGAAACCTTTTGTACGATACCATGATAAGGATATACGCTCAATGATGAAATGAGGCTCCTCAAGAACAACCCAGTCGAAGGTTGAGAGGTTGCGGGTTCAGGGTTCAGGGCTGCCCTACGTGGTCCTTGTTTGTTGTCAGCAGCTGCTACTGTCCGCAAAAGGGCTTTCACGCTGTGACGGTCTAGATAACTTGTGTCGGCACCAGCCTCCAGCAGCAAGCTTGCAACATCAAAGTGGCCATTCCCTGATGCGAGCGTTAGGGGAGTCATGCCATTCTTGCCTGCTGCATCTTTGTCAGAACCAGCTTCCAGCAGCAAGTGTGAGACCTCCAAGTGGCCATTCTCCGATGCGAGCATCAGGGCTGTCATTGCGCCGTCGTTCTTATGATCTTTGTCAGCACCAACCTCCAGCAGCAAACGCACAACCTCCAAGCGCCCACGCTGTGATGCAAGCAGCAAGGCTGTCATGCCGTCATTGGTAGTGTCACTTATGCGAGCACCAGCTTGCAGCAGTAAGCGTGAAACCTCGAAGTGGCCATGCTTCGATGCGAACAGTAGGGCCGTCTTCCCTTTGTGGTCCACGTGATGTTTGTCGACACCAGCTTCCAGCAGCAAATGTGCTACCTCCAAGTGCCCACGCTTTGACGTGATCAGTAAGGCTGTCTTGCCATCGTTGCTTGTTTCATCTTTGCAAGCACCAGCTTCCAACAACAAACGTACAACCTCCAAGTGACCACATCCCGACGCGAGCATGAGGGCTGTCATGCCGAACCTCTTCTCTTTTGCATCTATATCAACACCAGCTTCCAGCAGGAAGCGTGCAATCTCCAAGTCCCCACTGTCTGATGCGAGCAGTAAAGCTGTCATGCCATCCTTGCTACTATCATTCTTGTTAGCACCAGCTTCCAGCAGCAAGCGTGCAACCTCCAAGTGGCCATGCTCTGCTGCAAACATCAGGGCTGTCTTCCCATCGTTGTCCGGGTGATGTATATCGGCACCAGCTTCCAAAAGCAGACGTGCAACCTCCAAGTTTCCAAGTTCTGATGCGATCATTAAGGCGGTATTGCTGTTCTTGCAACTCAGCTCTTTGCCAGCACCAGCTTCCAGCAGCAAACGTACGACCTCCAAGTGACCATATCCCGACGCGAGGATCAGGGCTGTCATGCCCTTGTTCCCCTTTGCATCTTTGTTCGAGCCAGCTTCCAAAAGCAAGCGGGCCATCTCCACGTGTCCAGTTTCTGCCTGGGGTCTAGGCAAGGCATTTACAAAATAGGTTACCGTAATACGAAAAACGTATTCTTTGCTACAGATCACCGTCATGGTAACTTAACGTAAATTCACCAATCAGAAGCCAGCTGCTGCGACTAGAAGCGGCGTCATGCGGTACTTTTTCCGGAAGATCTCACAGTCTGTGAGAGCGCCGGAGTCTAACAAGCAGCGAGCCTTAGTCGCCTTTTTAACCAGAAAAGGATCACTATGCTTATTCTTAGTCCCCTTACGTTAGATTCTAAGCAAAAACCATAATAAGAAGAATATTCCTATTCATCCCCTTAAGTTACTTATAAGAAAATAAGACATGATTCCTAAGAGCAGTCCAGGAGCCAGCTTCATGTGATTGTGTCGGGCAGCAGACATCAGCTGCTCCTCAGCACGTTCTCGAGTTTCATCGGAGACTCGCAGAATCACCAATTGCAGGTCCATGCGGGCAACAAGCTTGACTTCATCAGCCAAGACACTGCTGTCATGTATGAGTTGCTGCAGGTACACAGGAAAGCCGTACAACTCACAAAGGTGCTGCTTCAACGCCGCTACATCCTTCAACTCCACTGGGCTCATGATGACCAGCTCTTCCCCAGAAGGTCTCCAGACGCGGAGCATGGCGGGGTTCAGACGCTGGACTTCGGGGTTTCGGTTCAGGGGTTTGGCTTAGGTACTGCACCCATACAATAAGAGTCTATAATAGGGCTACTTATTAAGGTCCCAATATCTACCTTATGAATATTATTCAACTGTTCCTGAGTGGGGGGCCGTACCCAAGGTTTGGAGTTTGGGGTTTCGGCCCCACTTGCAAATAGGGCAGCCCAACGATCCAGCTAAAGCCAGGCAGGTCCTCGGCGTCCACTGTAGTGTAGCGGCCTTTGATATACAGTTAAAGTAGGGTTCTGAGGCCCATTATAGTCTAAATGTAATAAGGACCCTATCCTAAAAAAAAGTATTTATATATATATATATATATACATATTTATTTTTTTATCGATTTACTTTTGTTATTTCGTAGTTGTAATTATTTAAGCCCCTATAGTACTTGGGTGAGATGTAGTTGCAGGGTTGCGGCTTGAGAGTACCCCGAACCTCCAAACATGGCAAGGAATCCCCAAGTGAAGGGCAAGGGCATGAAACTGCAAAGCGCAGCACGAACTCCTGTCAACTGCAGCACGAACTCCTCCCAACAAGCCCCTCGGAGGGAAAGCTGTGTGATCAGCTTAGCCAACTCTTCCCCCAATGCCGACTATGGTAAAAACGCAGGCTGTACCCAACCCGGGCAGTTCATGCTTATGACAAACAGCAAATTGATGTCAAAACACGAAAAACTTTGCCCGACCGCAAACACAAACACAACCCAAACGCCTCGCCCCCCAAACCCTTCCTTTGCAGACCCCTCCATCACATTCTCAACCCTATCTGACTTCCTGAACCTCTAGAATCAAAGCATTAACGGGTCTAGATTCAAGATAGGATATGGGCCGTGATGATTGGAATAGGATTCAGGGGTATATTAATCAAGAGGGAAGGAAGGTACTTAAACCCGGCCAACCCTCTAAAGAACCAGGGCATCTAGCTGCATTGCCCTTCTTTTTCTTGAGCCAAAGTGGCGTTCGTAGTCTGACTTCACAAGTGAAACCTGGGCCCCTGAAGCATTAAAGCAGGGCCTCTCAACCTAACCTCTGTAACCTCCTCTGTCGGGTCTCTGGGGCTGTGTTCTTTCAACTCCCCCCTCGCCAGAGTCAGCTACAGGAAAGACTGCGAACTACTTGAAACTGTACAATGGGGCGCTTAAAGCAGCCCCCTAAGCACACGGGCGCCTACGGCAGCCCCCCTAGCGGAAGAGCGCTAAAAGCAGCTCCCTCCGGCAAGCTGTGCAAAGGTGAACGTCGCTACTTGGGACTAGACCCCGAAGTGGGAGAGGTGGTAGGGCCACTACCGGCTTTGGTCTTGAGCTGTCTCGTGTCTACCAGAATCTCGGGAAGCTTCTGGCGCATGCCTAACAACTTCAACGCATTATCCCACTTTTGCGGTGGAAGTGCTTTAGTGAAGATGTCGGCAGCCTGCAAGTTTGTATCGACATACTCAATGTCTACATCATCCTCATCAATCACCTCAGAGATGGAACCCAGATTGACCTTATGGGTGCGCGCTATGTGCCTAAGTTTTGGCGAATAGCCCTTCTTCGCAACTAGGATCGTAGCCTGGTTGTCCTCATGAATGACTAACCTGATCGGATAGTCGAGGATGGTCTGCCAGAGCTGCAATGCCGGAAGTGCTTCTTGGAAGAGGCTATGAGCTAAAGACACAATCTCGGACTCTGGGGTACTGCGACTCACAGACGTCTGGCGCTTGGACACCCATGCAAGAGGAAAGAAGGTGTTGGGACCTTTCAGGACTAAGAAACCTCCACTGGTGGATTTGGCATCGTCCCTTTCCCCTGCAAAGTCGGCATCAACGTAGAGCGCAAGATGCAGCTCCCTTGGCCCGTCCGATACAGTGCCTACAAGGCGGTGGGTCTTAGTGGAATCGATGTAGCTTATCAGGCGAAGAAGCTTCTTATCATCGTTCCTCGACCACTTTTGCACCTTGGTCGCGAGGTCACCTATCGGCTTGACTAAGTCAGGACGTGCAAGTCTGCCTAGCCAAAGGGCCTTCATCAGCACCTTACATGCGTTAGGAGCCAGCTCCCCAGCAATCTCCTCTTGACTTACTGGAAGTGAAGCCTCAGGAGCGAAAGGTGTGGCAGCATGCTTTAGAGTCTTAAGGCCAGTAAGGCCCTTGTATAGGTCTACTGTCTGCTGTGCGTAATCAAACATATCAAACGCCATGGCACCCTTTAATGCGCCTAGGGCAGCATTCTCGGTGCCTTCGAGCTCGGCGTTGATAGTGCAATGGTTGCGGCCTAAGATCCTATACACAGGCTCCGGGGGTTCTACATCAACAACCTTACATAAAGCATCCCAAAACGGTTGGTGCTCCTCCTGTGGTCCAGAGAGGGTAAGATCATCTACATAAGTGGAAAGAAGGAGCTTAGTCTCAGGAAACCAAAAGTTACCTGGATATTCCGGCAGTTCTTGTCCACCCATATTCCTAAGAACCTCCTTAAGGTGTTTCTCCCACAGTCCGCCCGCTTCTGGGTGGCCGTACAGTGCGCGTAGAAGCAGCACTACTGGTTTTGCAAAACACTCACGCCACCAAGCAGGACGAAGTTCAGGTGGTAGCTCTATCCAAGTTTGGTACTTGGATTTAAGGAGAGCTTGCACATACGCTTTGACGGCGTCTGCGGCACTGGACTGATGGCCAGGTAAGCTACCGTAAGCTAAACAGGCATTAAGTCCCTGAACAGAGGTGGGGTTTGCACCTAACTCTCTGTAAACCGCTGCGGCGCCCTCTTCGTCCTTCGCACAGTCACCCCGGTACACGATTCGGCCTTTAACCTTCTGAAGGTGCTTGGCAAGTTCCCAAAACTTGATGGACGCAATGCTCATCAGCTTGCCGAAGTGTACCTTAGTGCCCGTGCGGCGCGCTTGCGCTTGGACGCTAGCGTATTCCTGCGGGTTCGTTTCGTCCCACACTGGAACTGCGCGAAGACCGTCTGCTTCCTGTTTCACCGCTTTGAGGGCCTCAGGTGAGGAGAGCATTTCGGCCCGAGAGAGAAGTTTCGTCACCATTGCAGACACCTCTTTTGAGGGTGCTTCCTTAGGTATGCCATGAACTGCACACATCAGGGCGGAAAGGTCGACGACCTCTTCTACGAGCTTAGAAGCCTCCTGGTCGGACTCTATTACGGCGGCAAGGTCCTCGTATCCGCTGAGAGCGGAAACGTGCTTCAGTTCCTGTTCCTTTTCGCGGTGTTCAGTGGTTGTGGAAGTGGGCAAGATCGGCATCGCAGGAACCGAGATATAGGCCCTACTGGGGTTGATGGCAAAGGCGATGCGCTCACACATCTCTTGCGTGTACAACCCAGTGAGTTCAAGATCCTTTCCCCGAGCCTCGACGTGCTCACTGGGATCATGGTTGCAGGTGATCCCTTCAAAGGCTGATACGATAGATGTGGATGTTGTCATGAGGCGCCATGGTTTCTTAACCGGCTGCCCCCCTGAAGCAGACACACCTAACATACAACCATCAAAGTCAACAACCTTAAACCTAGGATCCTTAAAGAACTCCTTTACATCAGGCCTCTTCCATGAATCGGAATACCTCGGCCACTCAAACGTGACATCAATCCCGAGGTCAAGCGCGGTCTTAGCATGCTCAACAAACTGTGCGAACAACTTCTTAGACCTGTGAATCTTTTGCAGGAGTCGTGCGCGATACTCACCGCCACCTCTCTTAAGCTGAACGCGATGCCACTGGCATCCAGAGGTGCACGGCAGAGACACCCAAAGGTGGCTCTTAGGACACGCACTGAACTGTTCGTGCAGCTGGGCAGCCACGAGCTCGTTCTCAACGTCCAAAGTTTCTTTGGCGAGGCGTACGTGGGGTACTCCAAGCTCTTCGTTCACACGCCCTAACATTGAGTTTGGGGAACATGCGTACTCAAAGACAGTCGTGAGCTTAGTGGGCTTCCCTCTCCTTCGACTCCGCTTGTTACCTCTCCGTTGCGGTTTGTCCTCCCCAAAACGCGGTGTAGAGGGAGCAGCTAAACCAAACACAGGTAGGTTCTCCTTTCCACGCACAGTGTCTAGGAGACACGTGGTACTGGCAGTGCACGGTGGCAAGGCAGCGCCTGCAGAAACAACGCTCACTGTAGCGGAAGCTGGGGGTACAGGAGTACTGGGTGCAACGCTTGGAGCAGGAGTTTCAGGAGCAGCGCTTGGAAAAGGAGTCTCTGGAGCAACGCTAGGCGCGGGAGTCTCTGGTGACTCTCCCAGGGCGCGAAGCGCAGCCCTCCTTGCAGCAGCTTCTTCCTTGTCTGCCTTAACAAGTTCGGCAAAGCGTGCTCTGCAAGTGTCGGTGTGCTTTGTGGCCTTTCCCCTACACGCTAAGCAACCCGGAGTCTCCCCGAACTTAACAATCCTATCGGCGGTGATATAAACCGTCCTAACGCCAGGTGTTCTGGGCGCCGGCGGCCCGATGCTTTCAAGAGCAAAGGGAATCTCCCGCAATGGGATCTCGGGCAGTGCGCCGGAGGCAGCACTCAAGGTGGAGCCATCTACAAGCGCCTTGCGGGTTGCATTCGCGACTGGGAAGATGGGCGGACCGTCCTCTATGTACAACTCAGGTTCTGGCACGTCGTGGACAGACGTGTTGCGTTTACCACGAAAGTCGTTGTAATCAAGAACCTTAACAACATTGCGATAGCGCATGCCTGCGTCTATCCGCCACCCTAGGAAAAGACCTGGTGACATGTTGGGTTCAAGAGTGCGCTTAGAACCTTTAGAGCGGTACCAGACGAGTTGCCCAAAACAGGCCCTCTTCCCATTGAAGGGCTCCTTTGTGAGGGCCTCCCACTGTGTGACCCCCCCTAGCGGTGCCGTCCTGTCAAAGGACAAAGAAAGGCACGCGTACGGGTACGAGTAAGAATGCATGTCGTAAGGAAGTCCACTCTGGAGGTGGATAGCACGGCAGCACTCCTTTTCCTCGCGGATATCCCTCTCGAGTAAGGCGTTGTGGGGCCATCTGTTAGGGAGAGAGGGTTCCGGGGTCAGGCCTACCTCCTCCGCCGCTACGATCAACTCGCCAGCTTCATCTAATTTAATGAGGCAGGTCGGCGACATCTCGTTTGCTCTTAGACCTATAAAATGCCGGAAGTTGCGTGCATGCTGGGCAGCACCCCTACGCGTCATAGGGTACGCAACTCTAGCCCCTGAGAAAACATCCCTTACTACATGATGTGACTTAACCCCTCCTGTTCCTATGCCTCGGTGCTCATCACCTTTTGCCATGATGACATCATCAGTGGCAAGCTGTTGGAACGGAGCAGTGGGGACATCAATCATGTCATCTGCCTTGGCATCGGGCTTGTGAGCCACACGCATTGAGGTGGTCTTGGCGATGTGACAGATCTTACAGAAGGGATTCTTAGGAAAGTGGGTCCTAAGATGCTTCTCAGAAGTGGCTTCGGCTCTAAGTTCTTCGGTCTTGGAGTGGGGCTCTGGAGGAGGCGGCAACGGTGGTGGTTGCTCTGTGGAAGGGGCGCTCGGAGCAGCCCCCTCACGCGAACTAGAGGCGCCTGAGGCAGCCTCCTTTGCTGTTGTGCCTTCGGCAGGCTGTTGCGTACTTGCGGGCTTTCCCTTGAAGAGTTCAGGAAAAAGTTCTTCTTCGGAGCTTTCACTGGCAGCTGTCTCACCTACAGCGCCTTCACGAAAAAGCCGCTTTGCTTCAGCCTTCTTCTCTGCATGCTTCTCGACGACGTCGGCTTCCCAATCATAATCGCCAGAGGTTGTGCGGGGATAGCTTGCCTCAGCCTCTTCAAGATCTGCGACCTCGAAATCGCTGAACGACACAGTATCATCATCCTTCGGCGCAGGGGATGCCGATGCAGTAATGGGGCTTAGGCTTGGGCTCTGCTCCCTTACTGCCGGGCGCAATGTCTCCTCGAACTGGGGGACATATTCTACGACCCTGGTCGCATTGATCCTCGCTTTGCGCGGGATACGAAGCTTGCAGCGGTGCACGTCCTCTTTCTTCACGAAGTACGGACGGTGCTCTCGAGGGTCCCAGACAAACAAGGATCCCTCGTCAAGGACAGCTTTACCTACAGAAAAGGCTGGCGGACACTCCTTAAGTACGTAGACCTGCTCCTCTGAAGGTAACAACCGGCTGCCCTCAAACGCGAGGCTGTGAGTGCCTTCACGCGCGCCGCCACCAGTGGCAAAACCAACAGGTGTCTCGGAGCGGGTGACACAGGAAAGGGCTTTGGAGGAAAGCGCCTGGCGACCTATCAAATGCCTACCTGCTGCCGTGTCCCAAAGCCAGGTGATCTTGCCATCCTGGTTCAGCTCGGCGGGGAGAGCATTGATTAACGGTGCCGTTGCAGCGTTCGCCTTCGCCTTTGCCTTAGGCTTAGCCTTAGCGTCTGGCTTTGCAAGTGACTTGGGCTTAGGACCAGTGTACTTGTTCTTGCTGTCGTGAAGGAACGGACAGGGGTCGCCTTTGCAGGCGCCGAACGCCCAAAACATACACGGTGTCTTGGCCTTCTCCTCCGGGGTCATGTTCCTGGCGCTTTTGGCCTGAGCAGATCTGGGCGTCGTATCACCACCTTTTGGGCTTCGTGGTGTTCCGTTGCCCTTTCCGCCCTTTCCGCCTTTTCCCTTACCCTTTGGGGCAGGTGCGCCTGGGACCTCAACCTCGGGTTCGCCCTCGTCTTTCTTTTTCTTTTTCTTCTTTTTCTTCTCCTTCTTCGGCGGCTTGTCGGTAGTGCCTCCTTTCGGTGCGCCTGCGGCAGCACCCGGTGCGGGTGTTGCGGGCACACTTGGCTTTGAAGGCTGGGAGGTGGAAGTCAAGGTCTCTGGCTTCTGTTGCAAGGACTTATCGAACTCCTGTCGATTGACACGCTGTTGGTGCAAGTCGATTGCAATGTCAACGCGGTTCCACAACCATGCAGCGGTGCGACGGTGTGATCCCGGTCTTGCTTCCCTTGCCTTCTCTACCTTGGGCTTAAGAACTGAAACCTTTTCGAACTCATCGATCAGATGATTGAAGATCGTACTGTCCTTAGGGAGATCCTCTACAGGAATGGTATTGGCGACGTAGTGATACTTATCACGAAATGCCTCCAGATGGGAAATACCATCCCCTCCAATCTTAATGTTCAGAAGGTTGCGTTCTGCTAACATTCCCATGCGGTCACGTTCCAGCTGGAAGTGCCGATAAATGGCGCGCAACATGCAGCGACCATTGGGCATGCCACCCGACTTGAGCCTCTCAGACTCGACCATCTGCTGGAAAAGCAACCCGAAGCGACCGTGGCGACACACTTTGATAAGCTTAGCGGCGATCTCGCGGTCAAGGCGAGGGAAGCGCCCATCCTTACAAAGTGCGGCAGGCTCCTTCTTTAGGCAATCTTGTGCCCAGATGTACACCTCATCGCCTGGGGTCTTCTGGAGTTTTCCAATGGCCATCAAGGTCTGATTCACAAACCCTCTCGCTTGCGCTGCGTTTTGTGGTGGGTTTGGGAAGGATAAATCAGAAAGCGATTTCACTCTGATGGTGTCCTCTTCAAGCTCTGCATTGGTCTTCGGAGCCGCCGCGCTTGAAGCTGCGGCCCCATCACCGTCAGGGGCTGGATCATCACCTCCATCTTTGTTGCAGGTGAGCTCTGGGCACTCCTCTTCTGCGTGTTTCTTAGAGCCACACATCCTACATGCTGGGTGCTCGGACCTTGCTGAGGAATCAGATGAGGACGATGAGCTGGATGATCCGCCTGACCCTGGTGAGCCTGGGGGCGCTGTGACTTGAGCGGTGCCTCCTAGGTTCAACGTGGGTACCTGAGGTGGTGAGTCGGACTGTGCTTCTGCTGGTGCGCTTGGGGCTGCACCCGAAGGCGCGGCTGCACTACCAGACTGCGCGGCACTAGCTGCGACCAACTTCGCTAGATCGGAAACCAACTTAGCCAATTCATCAACCCTTTGGTCTACCGAAATAGGCTGTGGATCTTCGGGAGGCCCTGAGCTGGCCTCCCCCCCTGGTGCGCCAGCGGCTGCACCCTCTTGGGGCGCATCGCTCTCGCCTGTTGGTTGTGCGACAAGCGGGGTGCTTAAGGTCTCTTGTTCCTCAGGCACTGGCTCGATCACAGGGGTTGTGGGTTGTTGGACCGCATCATTTTGGCTTGTGTCCGGGGAGAAAGACATCTCCGGAAAAGAGAGACGGGTTCTTGTGGGGGTTCGCTGCGCTTGGGCGTTGCTACTCTCCACAAACTTAGCAGACAGATCACGGTATCGCTCGGCCATGACGGCCATTGCCTCCTCGTGACGCCGCTGCATCGACTCCATCTCGTCTGCTAGCCTCACGATATCAGCGTCACGTTGGCGCAAACGCTGGACCACTTCCTGCCTATCGACCTCAGCCTGCTCCCGTGCCAAAGTGGCTTGTCGGAGAGCTTCTGATAAACCCCTAGCCTCACCCTCAACTAACCTTATTCTAGCTTGTGCCGAATGGTTGCTTTGGGCTATGGCTTGCTGGGCCTCACCTTGAATCATTGAGACCCGTTGTTGAGCCTCACGAGTGGTGGCGTCAATGGCGGATTGGGCTTCTTGCCTAAGGCTAGCTTCTCGATACCTAGCATCATCCACGATACCCTGCGCAGCCCGTGCAATCGTCTGGGCCTCGTCGCGGTACTGTGCCTCGGCCGCTGCAGCTTGAAGGCTAGCTTGCATTACGGCCTCCCTAGCTTGAGTAACTGTCTGCTGTTCCCTCTCTGCAGCCTGGTGCGCGAGGGACGCAGCACCCAAGGCAACGCCGGAGGCGTGGTGGGCGTGTGTCACGGCGGCACCTGCAAGAAAGGTTGCTTGTGTTGCGCTAAGCTCGGGACCCCTTTGTGGGGGAGACGCCGCGGAGGACGAGCTATACCCCTCATTCCTTTGTGGTGTGGGGGCTGGTTCGCGGATCCTAAGAATGGTTGCTGCTGCCGGGACCAAGGCCTGGCCGCTAAAAAGCTCTGGGTCGCTAAAGGAGGATTCCCCTGATGTCCGGCTTCGGCTTCGGTCTTCTGATGGTGGGGAGATGCCTGACATGGCTTCACCTCCTGAAGCTTGAGCCTTTGAGCCCAAACAACACCCTGTCTACGAAAACCGCCTTTCGGCCGGGACCCGAAAGAATCCCCAAAAGAACCTTAGGGCAAAAGGGGAGGGGGCAAGAAAACAGGACCCCTCACGCAACCACTCTCGAAAAGACTTTTGTGACTGATGCTCGCGATGGTCGGCCCGTTCGGGGACCAAGTGTCTTGAAAGAAGGTGTGTGCCGACGGCTGTGCGCAAAAGGCAGCACACACACAAAGGCAAAAGTATGATACACTGTCTCTAGGAACCACCACCCAGCACTAGAACCCAAATGCACCCTAGACCTGTTACCCGGCCCGGTGCGCCACAGGCAGCACCCTAGGGCGCTGCAAGGGATGGTGTCGTGCGGCGGCGGCGGCCCGAGAGGATGGGGCTGACGTTTGCGACCCCTATGCTACAAAAACCCAAGGCACTAAACCACTAAGGTGGCCCGGTGCGCTTGGAGCAGCACCCTAGGGCGCCGCGAGAGGAGCAGGCGGTGGCGACACGCAGGCTGGGTGAGCCGGCCCGGTGCGCCAATGGCAGCACCCTGGGGCGCTACCTCTCGTAAAGGAGCTCGCGGGGCTCCAGGTGGCGAGCCTTTGGGAGGTTGTTGCGCCCCGTTCGCTTGATCAACGCGCTTGCCTGGTTGAGCTCGTAGATCAGCTGGTCGACGCCGCCACCCTTCTGCGCCTGCACAGTGAGCGCGCCTGTCTTCGCGCACTCTTTTATAATGCCGCGATTGTCGTCAATAATGAGACTTGCTGGCGGCTCTATCTGGCACAACTGTTGTGCCTTCCCGTCGGGGCCAGTGCGCTGATATGTTTGGCCGATGCTGAGGTTGATGCTCAGCGGCAACGCCAAACGCAAGCACTCTAAGGCCTCTTCGAGGAAATGATGACGATACCACGCCGATGAAGAGGGTGTGCTATAGCTCAAAATTGCCAATCGAAGTGGCTTATGCTCCTCGCAGAATGCTTTGAGCGCGTCCACAAACTCAAGGTTGAAATATCCGTGGGAGCCACGGCGGGTCTCCCAGGTAGCTCCTGTGGACTCGATCCAGGCCTTGTCTAAGACGTGGTGCCAGTCGAAGACAATCGTGGCCTCGGTGCGCGAAGCAAGCACCCTTTGCGAGGAAGCACTGGCAGCTGCCGCGCTTGAAGCTGCGGCCTGGGCGTTCTCCTCGTCTCTAGCCTGCTGTGCCCACGCGTGATAAGCTAGCTTCTGTCGGTTGCCGGTGACAATCGGCGGCGGAGCCTTGGAAGTTGCTTTGGGCTGCTCCTGGCCACCTCTCGTGATGCTAGCCACAAACACAGCGTGCGGCGGGCCCTTGAACACCGGCTGTGCTGCCGTCCCCTTTGGCGCGGGTGGCGCCGGCACAGGAGGGGACTTATACTTTACCCCGTGCCTATCTGTGGGTGGCACCTTCGAGGGCAGCTTTGGCTGCGACTGCCGCGCCTTTGGCAGGCTCTCCTTGGTCGCCGGTGCACGTGACCTTGGGGAGTCACCCTCAGAAACCGCACCCTCTGGTGAAGAAGATGCTTGCCGCTTGGGCGGCCAGGACCCGCTGCGCCCTCGACCCCGGTGCGCCTGGGCAGCACCCTTTGGGGGAGCTGCTTCTGGTCGGCGCGGGGTCCTTGTACGCTCTCTGGGCCCTGCTTCCTCGACGGCTTCTATGGGCTCTGCCTTTGCACCTCTCTTGGCCTGACCTGTGCCTGTGCTTGTGCCTTCGCCTGCGGTCCTGGGCCTGGCCTTTGGAGGCGGGCGCGTCACCCTCAACGGTGCGCTGGCTGTGGCGGGGACGCTTGATGCCTTGGACGCTGGGGTCAAGACAACGCGGGGGCGCCTCGTTGGAGGCTCTCCCTCCGGAGTCGCGGGTCGCCGTCTCAAGGTCGCTGTCTCTTCCACCTCAGCCTCCACGATCTCACCCTGTCGGAACGGCCTTCTCTGTGGTGGTGCCCTGGGTGTTGCCGGTGCGCCTGAGGCAGCACCCCGCTGCCTACCTTCCTCTTCTGAGCTGGTGTCTATGCGCGCTACGGACACACCCCTAGGAACCCCACTAGCTGTATAGGCCTCCCGGTAAGAATGTGGGTCGATCCACGCGTCGTTGGGCAAATCAAACGGATCAGGTGCACTAAGTGCTTCTTCTGCGTCCCCTTGGTGCGCGGTGCGCTGCACCCTCGGGGGGGGCACGGCACGACGCTGAAAGGAGGGAACTGCACTAGGATCCCTAACCCTAACCCAAGCACCCTGACTATCAACCCGAACTGTGGGGAAAGTCTCGGTGGCGGGTGCCAGGATAAGCGGCCTTCGGGTCACACCCCGGCCGCGGCCCACACTCACGCGCACTTCTCTGGTCGGGGCTGCGGCTTCCGAGGGGGCTGGAGAAACTGTTGCCTCCGAGGCAGGGGGCACGTCTATTGCCTCGTCCTCCTCTGCTGCCTCTTCCTCCTCGGCGCCTTCTGCCTGTCGGCCTTCGGTTGCGGGCTCGTCGTCCGGTGCGCCTACGGCAGCACCCCCGTCGTCGCCTTGGGCAACCTCGACCTCTACCTCTATCTCCTCGGTCTCCTCCCGGCCGGCTTCCTGCTCTGCCTGCTCGGCCTGCTCGGGCTCCGCGTCTTCGGCGTCCCTAAAAGAGGCAAACACCGAGCCGCGGAGCCTAAGCTCCTCCAGGCGTGCCTCCTCTTGCGCTCGCCGCGCCGGCGGGGTGCGGACGCGCCTGGCAGATCGCAGGGAATCTTCTGCCGGATTCCCGCCAGCTCTGGACAGATCTACCTCGTCCTCGGCAGCCGGTGGCTCGGAAGATGCTCTCGCGCCAGTGTCTTCAATGATCTGTTCTGGCTCTGCTGGCACCCTCCTCTGCCTCAGTGGGTCGCTCCGGCCCCTGTAATAAAGGTCCCGCGTGGGTCCCCTTATTCCAAGAGCCGGCGCCTTCGGAGGTGTGGGCGGCTGCGCCGGTGCGCCAGGGGCTGCACCCTCTGCGGGCGCGCCTGACGCTTCCTCGGCTGGCTGCTCCTCCTCCTGTGGTGCGCTTGAAGCAGCACCCCCCGACCCAGCTGCCTTTGCCGCGGCTTTCGGCCTCCAACGCGCTCCTGACCCAGTGGCAGGCTCTTCCGTCACGTCCGAAAAAGCAGTCCACAACTCAGGATAGTACTCGACCAGGTCTGCCCACACTGGGTGGAATACGTCGACCTGTTCTGTAATCTGGCCGAACCTAATAATCGTGTCGTAGTGGGCCTCGGTAACGTCTTCAAAGTTCCGCCTGCGCACGATTATGTTCTGTACCGACTCAGCAAGTTGGATCAAAGCGTCCTGCGCTTGGTAAAAGTGAAGCTTCCTCCTCTTCGCTCCTGCGCGGCCCCCTCTGTAGGGTTTGTCTCCGGCAGGTGCCTCGCCCTTTGGTGGCATATGCTAGCCGGTGCGCACAAGGCAGCACCCCACTAGCAATCTGCCCACCAGCGCGCCTAAGGCTGCGCTCTTGCTATGGCAGGGGGAAGAACCACTAAAACCCTGCGGCCGGGTTCAAGTAGGAAACCAAAGGAAACAAAGAGCTACGGCTGATAACCAATCAAGAGGGAAGGAAGGTACTTAAACCCGGCCAACCCTCTAAAGAACCAGGGCATCTAGCTGCATTGCCCTTCTTTTTCTTGAGCCAAAGTGGCGTTCGTAGTCTGACTTCACAAGTGAAACCTGGGCCCCTGAAGCATTAAAGCAGGGCCTCTCAACCTAACCTCTGTAACCTCCTCTGTCGGGTCTCTGGGGCTGTGTTCTTTCAACTATATTGTACTGAAATCATAATAAGGAACCCTCAAAACCCCATTCCAATTATCAAGGCCCCTACATTATCCTCTTCACCAAAACTTTGCCATGCTATCCAGAAAGACCGGAATCTCTCAAAAACAAAGCTTCAACCACCCGAATCCCTAAGCCGTCCGAAACTCCACCTCGGCGCGAGGGTACGCGAGCTGCACTGCCAAGTTGTCCGAACTGGGCAGCGAACTTCGCTAAGAAAGCAACCGGGTTGTGCTTCCTACGTTCCCCAGCATAACGTCCATAACAGCGGTACTGTTCTTCCTGTTCTTCAGGCTAAATTAGCAAAGCCCTTCTAAAACAAAGTAGCAGGGTACCGCTGGACTGGGGGGCGCTAAATCCCCCTAGAACCATTTACAGAAGACCTAGAGTACCCTGAATACTTGTTCAAGCCCTTACTGGGCCGTTTGCAAGCTCTCATTACAAACCGTTGAAGAAAGCTTTAAAACCCTCATGGCATCCTGACAAACCCTTCCAAAGAACCTTTTCCACACGTTCAGGCCCCCAAAATTAAGACACTAAGCCCTAATCCCTATATGGAGCCACATGAAGCCGAGGCAGCACTCGAAGGCCTAGAGCCGGTAGCATCCTTTCGACCTGGTTTACAGACCCTCTGAGCCGAATTCTAGCGGTTGCATAAGGGCTCCGGTTTTAAGATCGACGGCTTAGGGCTGAGGTTCAGGGTTTCCCCACCATGCACCACAAGCAGCTGCAGAACCCCTGAGCACCAGGCTTTCGCAAGAGAGGCGTCACCTTCGGGGCTGCTGCGGACTCGTAGCCCAGAGGATCCATAGACCCTACTATTATGGATTTAGGCCCTAAAACACCATCCCCATTATGGTTTTGGGGACCTAGTTCCATAACAGTAGTGTTTCTGGACCCTCTGGGTAGGAACTGGAAGTGAGTGGGCTTAGAGACTTACAGCTTGCAGCTAAGGGTCTATATAGACGATCATAGAAGTCCCTGCGCCCAAGCTCCACCACAAAGCAACAAAACCTTAACGCGGAACAGACCGTACCTGAATGTTTTTCTTCATGCTCTGAAACCTTAAACCCTAAACATCTGCTGTAAGGAGTTGAGTAAATAGTGTTACAAGTAGAATAAACAAGATTTTGGTGTATTCTATACGATAATCATAATCAGGAACCCCCACAATAGTACTGCAAATTACTTAGACCCCTATATTAAAACGCCAAACTTCCGGCAGCTATTCCAACCCAGAGCCGGAAGCTTTGCATCCCAGTCACCGTCAGCGACAGAGCGTCGCAAAGGAACAGGCCCACGTTGGCGGACATGATCACCGCCTGGTATAGGGGGGCCTGACTTACTTGAATTGGGGGGTGCTTCTAGTATAGTTATTAAAAGGAATCCTAAGGAACATTGATAATTAGAATTGGCCTTTGGGTTCTAAGATTCTAGTATAGTTGTAATAAGGAACTCTGAGGAAGACTATTGGTGCATATGCAGGCTTGTATCTTAGATTGCCCGAAGGCTGTAGCCCTGAACCGGAGACTCGAAACCCAAACCTTGGGGGGGCGTAGGGCTTACGGCCTAAATTCCGGATGCTTTCAGCTACACCTGCGGACGACACATCGACTGGTGTCGATTGCCGCGATGCTACTACAATTCCTGCGGCCCCTCTGAACCCTGCATCCCGAGCCATCAACCCTTCACAACCCTGGACCCTAACCTGAAACCCTAAACCTTTAACTCTGAACCCTACAGCCTGAACCTTAAGATCTGCACGCCGAACCTTGACCCCTGAACTGGATCCTAAACCGTGGGCCAACGAAGCAGGTGCTGCTGAGCTTAGCCACGGAACTCAAGACACCCTGTAACACCCGATACAAACATGGGATGCCCAGTAACCTAGGAATAAAGAGGGCTCCCTTTTTGGTATTGGGTACCTTAATCAGGAACCAGGAACCTAGGACTACAAAAAGGGAATAAGGGTACTGCTGGGCATCCTAGAAACTTCTTGAACAGCTATGAAACCTTTTGAAGCGTTCTGAGAGCCCAGCGCAGGGCAGCAGCAAGTCTTCGTCGAAGGGCGGATTCTGAGATGAGGGCAGGAATCGTTTAAGTTCACCCATATATAGAAGCCCAGAAAGCAATCCAAGAACCGCGGAAAAGGGATTAGGGGATAGGGTCTGGGGATTAGAATTTCCTGGCTTACTTGGAGGATCATGGGACTTAGTAATTAGGGCTATCAATAGGGTAGTTACAAAGACCAATAAATAGCCCCAATTAGGGTACTTATAACCTTACTTACTCAGTCCCCTGTTTCTCGAAGTACCCTAAACCTTATAGTACCCTTATGGGCCCCTTAAAGGGGCCCTTAGGACCTAGCTATTTTCAAGGGAGGACGTAAGGTTCAGAGTTCCATGGCCTAGGGCTGTGGGTGTAGGGCTCAGGGTAAGAACCCAAACTCTGTTTGCTACTTACTAAGTCTCCGACCCTCCAAGCAGAAGCTTTATGCTGGCAAACCTTATGTGGGGAGGGGCCTGCGTGATTAGGCTTAGGCCTGGGAGTTTAGGGTTTCGGATTCGGAGCTATTTAATAGAGCCTCACAAGAGGGTGTGGAGGATAATTACCATACTAGAGCTGTATCAGGACCGGAGGAGACTGACATTCTGTAGTCACTATGCCCGCCCCATATTCGAAGGGAGTCATGCTACATGTGCTGCGTGTTGCGGTGTCTACAAGCGAGATGATACCATGATACTAAGTAAAGCAACCCAGATCTCGGATGCAACACAGACATGGTTGCTGACGAATCTCCGGGCCTCAACCATTAGAACAGGGTTTTGGGCAAATTACAGTATATATGTAAGAATGTATACTACATATATATGTATATAAGTATATTCAGGAGGTCTGAGGAATAGCATCACAATTTGCTCCGGCGTCGACACTACTTTCACTCGACTCCTATGGCCGGGACTCCGAAACAGAAAGCACACAAAACTCCACATGGTTAGTTTTCTTTATATGGGCATTAAAGTTCGTCGTTAGGTCCCCAAACTTGTACCGCACCCTTGTAGAAAGGACCCTAAAAGGGTCCCTGATTTGGAGAACTACCCACATGTCAACACCCTGAACGCAAACCCCAAGAACTTGAAACCTCCCTGTTCAGTCCTAAGTAGTCTAAACCCGACAAGCCATTTAGAAACCCTACAGCACCTCATCAAACCCTTGAAGAAACCGTCATCACCTGAATAGAAACCCTTACCCCTAAACCAATATTAAAAACGCCCTGCCATGCCTGCCCCGGCGGCTGTAGCTCCTTTGGTGCCTGGCAGAAGCGGGACCTTTATTTATCGGGTGTATGGTTCAGGGGGTTTTGGATTTAGGGGTTTGGGGTGGGAGGATTTTATAGGGTTGAGAGTAGCGATTGTATTTGGGATTTTGGGGTTCGCAATTGAGTGAGTGCTTTGCACGGTTTACGCGTGTGGAGTTTTAGTTTGGGTTTGCAAGATGTACCAGCTGTCGCTGAGGCTGGTATTTATGTCGATGTAAAATGTAGGGCACCTTATCATTACTGTTGCTTCCGCTGCCGTTGCCACTAATCTAGTTGCTGCCCTCCTCGTCGATGTAGTTGTTGGAGCTGCTGCTGTTGCTGGTGGTGGTGGTCGGAGTGTGGTCTCGATGCTGTCGCTTATTGTGGCCGTAGGTACAATGCTTAAATCTAAAGTTCTAGACTCACAGCCCCCGTCGAATTGCCACAGCCGCAGACTGGCGCGGTTCTGTAAATGTGCCCTCAGTAGTTCGACGCACAGGGTTGCAGCGTTAGGTTCTTAGGAGGCGGCTCGCAAGCGAAGCGGCGAGTGGGGAGCCGAATTAAGCCTGACAGCATATCATAGAGTGCTCCTTACTATGGTTCAAGGCTACAAGGTCTCGAGCATCCTGAAAAACCCTAAAACCCTAAAACCCTAAACTCTAAAACCCTAAACCTAAACCCCAGACCCTAAGTCCTAAACCCAAAGTCCCAAACCATAGAACCGAACTTTCAATTAGCACACCTTGTGGGCATTGACGTAACCAGTCGAAAAGCAGGCTGGTTCATCTCAGAATGGCTCGTTTTACGAAATTCAAACCAAAACATAAAAGTATGATACTAAACCCTAAGGCCCTAAACACTAAACCCTGAACCCTACACCCTAAACCCTAAACCCTGCCAGCCCCTAACGCCCGAAGATCCCAGATATCCAGGCAGAAACGAGCCGGAATCGCCAGATCCGCTTCGGTGGTCGGCCTTGGGGCTTAGGGCGTTCGGGCGCTAGGGGTTAGGGCTTAGGGCGCCTAAGGCTCTCCAGGCCTTTGAGGCTTCAGGCTTTAGGGCTTCAGGGCTTCAGGGCTTTGGGGCTTTGGGGCTTCAGGGCTTTAGGGCTGAAGGGCTTTAAGGCTTAAGGGCTTTAAGGCTGAGGGCTTTAGGGCTTAGAGCGCCTAAGGCTCTAGGCCTTTAGGGCTTCAGAGTTTCGGGGTTAGGGGTTGAGAGTTGCAGAAGGTTTCGGGCTTAAAACACTGGGCCTCATGCTTTGCATAGGGATTTTGGGGTTTAGAATAATGTAACCATAAGAAGGAGCCCTCGACCACGC